TTTTTTTTTTCATGGAATACAATATAGTACAATCTATGAATGGAGGTGAAGGATCTTTCCTTTATCCCCCTCATACTTCAGTCATAGATCACATTTAATTCATGGAAGCTATAGTACCATTTTTGTGAATGGAGGAGGGGGATGGAATAGGCCGGCATAGCTGGCACTCTTGATTGCATATGACATGTCCTTGGCTCAGCTAACCCCTGCCATGCGGGAAGATTTGCATTAATTTAAAGTTATGTCCCTTGCACTGATTTATTTATTTTTTAAACTAAAATTGGGCTTTAACAAATGGTGTTTTGTTTTTTTTTTTTTTTTCTTCTTTTTTTTTTTTTTTTTTAAGCCTGTGGAAGGAGCATTTTAGTGGCTAAACTTGGACTCTAAAGCTGAAGCGTAATCTGCATATATTTTTGGTCTTCCCTGGTTCTCCTCCAATCATCAACACGCTAGTTAAAGTGGCTTTTTCACCCTCCCTCTTATAATACTATTAATAATAATAATAATTTTTTTTTTTTTTTTTTTGTAAACACTGTTTTGATACTCGCTTACCAGCAGATCCAGCATTACCCAGTTGGGATCCTCTTCTCTTCTGATAGCGCTCAGTCCCGCACCATTATGTTTTCCTGTGATGTCATTGATGGGCTGCCAGCTATTCTGGATTCAGCCAGCATGCCTACCAATGATGCACTGAGAGGCCCAACCCCTCCTCCTTTCCTGAATGAAAGGCTGTGCCTCCTGAGATGTGATGTGCATTTCCGAGGAGGCAAAGGGAGAACAGTGCATGTCATTCGCCTAGGTGGTGACTTTGAATTGCCAGGGGGGAAGCGGTGCCATACATGTTCTTAAACAAAAAAAAAGTAATTAAAGAAAAAAAAGCTGAAGATCCGCTTTAAAGTGTTACTAAACCCGGACCCTGCATTCACTATATCCGGTCTCCCTGGACCCTGCATTCACTATATCCGGTCTCCCTGGACCCTGCATTCACTATATCCGGTCTCCCTGGACCCTGCATTCACTATATCCGGTCTCCCCCCGGACCCTGCATTCACTAAATCCGGTCTCCCCCATTCACTATATCCGGTCTCCCTGGACCCTGCATTCACACTATATCCTCCCTGGACCCTGCATTCACTATAATCCGGTCTCCCTGGACCCTGCATTCACTATATATCCGGTCTCCCTGGACCCTGCATTCACTATATCCGGTCTCCCCTGGACCCTGCATTCACTATATCCGGTCTCCCCTGGACCCTGCATTCACTATATCCGGTCTCCCTGGACCCTGCATTCACTATATCCGGTCTCCCCCCGGACCCTGCATTCACTATATCCGGTCTCCCTGGACCCTGCATTCACTATATGCCGGCATTCTCCCTGGGACCTGCATTCACTATATCCGGTCTCCCTGGACCTGCATTCACTATTCTCCGGTCTCCTGGACCTGCATTCCTATATCCCTCCCTGGACCCTTGCACTATATCCGGTCTCCCTGGACCCTGCATTCACTATATCCGGTGTCTCCCTGGACCCTGCATTCACTCTATCCGGTCTCCCTGGACCCTGCATTCACTATATCTGGTCCCCGGACCCTGCATTCCGGTCCTCTATATCTCGGGTCTCCCCCCGGACCCTGCATTCACTATATCCGGTCTCCCCCCGGACCCTGCATTCACTCTATCCGGTCACTATATCTGGTCTCCCCCCCGGACCCTGCATTCACTATATCTCCCCCCGGTGCATTCACTCTATCCGGTCCCCCCGGACCCTGCATTCACTCTATCCCGGTCTCTGGTCTCCCCCCGGACCCTGCATTCACTCTATCCGGTCCTCCCCCCCGGACCCTGCATTTCATTCAATCCGGTCTCCCACCGGACCCTGCATTCACTCTATCCGGTCTCCCCCGGGACCCTGCATTCACTATATCTGGTCTCCCCCCGGACCCTGCATTCACTCTATCCGGTCTCTCCCCCGGACCCTGCATTCACTCTATCTGGTCTCCCCCCCGTCACCCTGCATTCACTATATCTGGTCTCCCCCGGACCCTGCGATGTTCACTCTATCCTTGGTCTCCCCCCACGGACCCTGCATTCACCCCTGGACCCTGCAGTCATATCTGGTCTCCCCCCGGAACCCTGCAGGTCACTATATCTGCTCCCCCCGGACCCTGCATTCACTATATCTGGTCTCCCCCCGACCCTGCATTCACCTATATCTGGTCTCCCCCCCGGACCCTGCATTCACTATATCATGGGTCTCCCCCCGGACCCTGCATTCACTATATCTGGTCTCCCCCCGGACCCTGCAGTCACTATATCTGGTCTCACCCCCGGACCCTGCAGTCACTACCTGGTCTCCCCCCGGACCCTGCATTCACTATATCTGGTCTCCCCCCACCCCGGGACCCTGCAGTCACTATATCTGGTCTCCCCCCGGACCCTGCATTCACTATAATCTGGTCTCCCCCCCGGACCCTGCTAGTCATATATCTGGTCTCCCCCCGGACCCTGCAGTCACTATTATCTGGTTCCCCCGGACTGGCAGTCACTATATCCATGGTCTCCCCCCCCGGACCCTGCAGTCACTATATCTGGTCTCCCCCCCGGACCCTGCAGTCACTATATCTGGTCTCTCCCCCCGGACCCTGCAGTCACTATATCTCCCCCCGGTCTCCAGTCACTATATCTGGTCTCCCCACGGACCCTGCAGTCACTATATCTGGTCTCCCCCGGACCCTGCAGTCCCCCCTGGTCTCCCCCCGGACCCTGCAGTCACTATATTTGGTCTCCCCCCGGACCCCAGCAGTCACTATATCTGGTCTCCCCCCGGACCCTGCAGTCACTATATCTGGTCTCCCCCCGGACCTGCAGTCACTATATCTGGTCTCCCCCGGACCCTGCAGTCACTATATCTGGTCTCCCCCCGGGACCCTGCAGTCACTATATCTGGTCTCCCCCCGGACCCTGCAGTCACTATATCTGGTCTCCCCCCGGACCCTGCCCACTATATCTGGTCTCCCCCCCCCCCGGTACCCTGCAGTCACTATATCTGGTCTCCCCCCGGACCCTGCAGTCACTATATCTGGTCTCCCCCCGGACCCTGCAGTCACTATATCTGGTCTCCCCCCGGACCCTGCAGTCACTATATCTGGTCTCCCCCCGTCTGGTCTCCCCCCGGACCCTGCAGTCACTATATCTGGTCTCCCCCCGGACCCTGCAGTCACTATATCTGGTCTCCCCCCGGACCCTGCAGTCACTATATCTGGTCTCCCCCCGGACCCTGCAGTCACTATATCTGGTCTCCCCCCGGACCCTGCAGTCACTATATCTGGTCTCCCCCCGGACCCTGCAGTCACTATATCTGGTCTCCCCCCCCCGGACCCTGCAGTCACTATATCTGGTCTCCCCCCCGGACCCTGCAGTCACTATATCTGGTCTCCCCCCGGACCCTGCAGTCACTATATCTGGTCTCCCCCCGGACCCTGCAGTCACTATATCTGGTCTCCCCCCGGACCCTGCAGTCACTATATCGCTCTCCCCCCGGACCCTGCAGTCACTATATCCGCTCTCCCCCCGGACCCTGCAGTCACTATATCCGCTCTCCCCCCCGGACCCTGCAGTCACTATATCCGCTCTCCCCCCGGACCCTGCAGTCACTATATCCGCTCTCCCCCCGGACCCTGCAGTCACTATATCCGCTCTCCCCCGGACCCTGCAGTCACTAGATCCGCTCTCCCCCCGGACCCTGCAGTCACTAGATTCCGCTCTCCCCCCGGACCCTGCAGTCACTAGATCCGCTCTCCCCCGGACCCTGCAGTCACTAGATCCGCTCTCCCCCCCCCGGACCCTGCAGTCACTAGATCTGGTTTCCCACAGTACACAGAACATGGAAATGCAATTATTTTAGTAAATATAAACTGCTAAATTCCTTTTCTCATCAGCAGTATATGGCAGTCTTGTGACTTCAATCAGTGTCCAGCAGACCACTGGTTAAAGCTTGTAGGAGGAGTTTTTCATTTTGCTCTAGGAGTATGCAGAACCTCTGTCTGGACAGTGCTGATTGGTCCTGTGCTGATCACATGCACACTCCCAAAAAAAAAAAAAAAAAAAAAAAGCAATACACACACCAAACGGAGCATGTGCAGAGTGTCTCCACACAATATGTCTTATCAGGAGATCAGAGGGGGGACACTGGAAGAAGGGGAGGATCGGAAAAGACAGGATCAAACTGTCATTTGTTTTTACAAATGCAGAGGATTAACCCCTTAGGTTCCACAGTGAGTATAACAAGCACACTTTACTGCATCTACAGAATGATTGTACTGTTGTGGGTTTAGTAACACTTTAAATATTACCTTCTTGTCTTCATTGCATATTTGGACCCATGGGGGATGTTTAGTAGTGTCCACCCGCATCAGCAGCGCTCCCGTCTGGTCGTTTATCGACATGGGCCAGACGGGAAGAGGTTACACGTATATTTTGTGTTGTTTTTTTGGGGTTTTCTTTTTTACATTTCTTCAGTTACTTCCTGGTTTTTGGCCTAGGCCAGAATGATGTAATATATCTCATGAGTCTTCAGGGCATTTTTTTTTTTTTTTTATTTCATCTAGTACAGGGATCTCCAAACATTTGAAAACAAAGGACCAGTTTCCTGTCCTTCAGATAATCGTGCTGTGTACTACACTTGTAGTGTGTGTGTTGGTGGTTCTTTGTTTTTTTTAATTCTTTACAATTTTACTCCCAGAAGTCTATCAGCATTTATCTTCTATGGCTTTTCTATTTTTTTTTTTTTTTTTTTTTTTTTTTGGTCACTGCCTCTTGTACTATTCACTTTCAATAGAGTGGCTTCTGATTGGTTGCCTGTGGGTTACTACACAAATGAAGATGAAGCTGTGAATCAGAATATTATGGCCGTGTGTCTTCCGCCTTCGCTTTACGTTTTATTTTGTTGTGTGAACGCCAAGTACCACCGACTGATTACTTTTCTGTTTGCTCCAACAGGCAACGTTCAAGATGCTGCGCAACTTCTGGGCAGTAAAGAGGTCCGGGTCAACTGCTTGGATGAGGTAGGATGCCTTTCTTTTCGGGGTGTATGAGGATGCACTGCACCCCCCACATTCATGTTTTAACCACCTCCCGCCCGCCATATAGTAATATGACGGACGCAAGGTGGTTCTCTCGTTCTGGGAGGACGTCATATGACGTCCTCCCATTCTAACCACGCATGCGCGGCTCCCAGAGCGCGCAGCGATCGCTGGTGCGCTGTGTCCCTCGGACACAGTGGATCACCGATCCACGGAAAGAGCCGAAGATTTTGGCTCGGCCATGTGATCAGCTGTGTCCAATCACAGCTGATCACATGTAAACAGGGAAATGCCGGTTATCGGCATTTCTCTCCTCTCGAGCTGTCACGCTGACAGAGGAGAGGAGAGCCGGTAATTGGCATTCCTCGGAGGGGACATCTACACTGATCATCAGGGCACTGATGATCAGTCTGCCCTGACGATCTGTGTAGCCCCAGCAGTGCTACCTGTCAGTGTCCATCAGTGCCGCATTTCAATGCCACATGTCAGTGCTGCCTTTCAGTGCCCATCAGTGATGCCTGTCAATTCCCATCAGTGCCACCTACCAGTGCTTCCTCATCAGTGCCCATCACTGCATCCTCATTAGCGCACATCAGTGAAGGAGAAAAATCACTTATTTACAAACTTTTTATTACCCTCAATCTCTTGGCATACTGCATATCAGTAGCTATGGATTTTCTATTTTTTGTCAATGTGTCAGAATTCCCCTCGTACTATTCGCTTTCAGTAAAGTCAGTTGTGATTGATTGCCTGTGGGTTACACTAAAGATAAAACCGTGAATCGGTATTATTCTAGCATTTTCCCCAGCAGCTGCACCATTTTTCTTCCATGGTCATTCAGCCCACTTCCTGTGAGCCCAGGACTTCAAGGACCTGCCCTCTGGTGCATCATCAGGCCACCCTTGACTCAATGGATAAAAAATGCAGCTCTAAGGGCTCGTTCACACCCTAACCTTCTCCTAGACTAGTGGTCACCAAGCTGTGGCCCGGGGGCTGGATGTGGCGCGTTGCTTGCTTTTATCTGGCCCTTGGGGCGCTATTCCTCCTAGCTGACACCAACAATGAGGCATAATTCCTCCCACTGACAACGATGGGGAACTAGTCATTTCACTGACACCAGTGATGGGGCACTATGTCCCCCACTGACACCAACAATGGGGCTTTGCTTGTGCCCATTGACCAGTCTGACCCCCTGAAGTCTGAATCAGGCCACCCTTTATTTACTGGCTAAAATATGCAGCTCTTAAGGGCTTGTTTGCACACCATAACTTTCCTAGACCAGTGGTCTCTAAACTGTGGCCCGGGGGCTGAATGTGGCCCTTTGCTTGCTTTTATCTGGCCTGTGGGGCACTATTCCTCCCACTGACACCAACAATGAGGCATAATTCCTCTCACTGACACCAGTGGTGGGGCACTATGTCCCCCACTGACACCAGCAATGTGGATTGCTTGCTCCACGGTCCACTGGCCACGGTCTGACCCCCTGAAGTCTGAATCCTTGCTTTTATCTACCCTTGACAACAATTATGCTGGGGCACTTGCTAAAAAACATGCAGCTCTAAGGGGGCTTGTTCACACCCTAACCTTCTCTTTCTAGACCAGAGGTCTCCAAACTGGGGGCTGGATGTGGCCTTTTGCTTGCTTTTATCTGGCCCTTGGGACACTATTCCTTCCACTAACAACAATGATGGGGGGGCACTTGGTCCTCTCACGGGACGCCAGGGCCGGGGCACTTGGTCCTCTCACGGGACGCCAGGGCCGGGGCACTTGGTCCTCTCACGGGGCACGCCAGGGGGCCGGCACTTGGTCCTCTCACGGGACGCCGGGGCCTTGGTCCTCTCACGGGACGCCGGGGCACTTGGTCCTCTCACGGGACGCCGGGGCACTTGGTCCTCTCACGGGGGCACTTGGTCCTCTCACGGGACGGGGGCACGGTCCTCTCACGGGACGCCGGGGCACTTGGTCCTCTCACACGGGACGCCGGGGCACTTGGTCCTCTCACGGGTCCTCTCTCACGGGACGCCGGGGCACTTGGTCCTCTCACGGGACGCCGGGGCACTGGTCCTCTCACGGGCACTTGGTCCTCACACGGGACGCCGGGGCCGGGGCACTGCTCTCACGCTCCCCGGGGCACTTGGTCCTCTCACGGGACGCCGGGGCACTTGGTCCTCTCACGGGACGCCGGGGCACTTGACCTCTCACGGGACGCCGGGGCACTGGTCCTCTCACGGGACGCCGGGGCACTTGGTCCTCTCACGGGACGCCGGGGCACTTGGTCCTTCAAGGGACGCCGGGGCACTTGGTCCTCTCACGGGACGGCCTTGGTCCTCTCACGGGACGCCGGGGCCCTTGGTCCTCTCACGGGACGCCGGGGCCCTTGGTCCTCTCACGGGACGCCGGGGCCCTTGGTCCTCTCACGGACGCCGGGGCCCTTGGTCCTCTCTGGTTTCACGGGACCTCTGCTCTAGACATTTGAGCCAATAAATTGCAAGCAAAGAAGCCTGAAGGTGTTGAAGTCTGTCGGTCGCCATTGGTGGGTTGCACGTCTTGGTGCATTTGCAGGCTAGGTCACTTGTAGGGAAAGCAGGAGAGACCCTTGAAACCCAGCAGCTTCTTCGAGGTCATTGCTACAATTGATTGCGACGTTGCTACACGTTCTTGTCATTTTGGATTCTTGTTCCCATAGCAACTCTAAGACACGAAGTAACAAGGAGTTTACACTGAGTGCCCAGCAATTTTGCAAACAATAAGTCCCTCAATTTATCCCGGCTTACACCAGCGTGTCTTGTGCCGGAAAGCACGGAGCACCGAGGGCTTGCTGTGTTGGCAGGGGAAGGTTTGTTCTCTACATGTTCTGCGGAATACAATGGAACGAGAGGGCTTTATTAAGATGAAATGCGGTTGAGAAGAAAGACAGACTTTTTTTTTTTTTTTATACTTTAGAAAAACGCTACAAAATGGACAATAAAAGAGGCGAATACTGAGGGCTCCGAACAGCAGTGCTTGAGATTCAGAGGGAAAGGTCTGTGCAAAATTAAAGGCAAACGCCATCTATAGCGGAGAGCTCCGTTTTGGTTGGCTGTCGGCGTGTTGAACCGTGGGGCTGCTTTCGATCTCCAGCAGGTTGTTTCTGAAAAGACGACTATTTTTAGTTCTATGAAATTTATTGGCTTGTTTGTAACACATATGTACATGGTGCTTGCGTCTGTCATGTGGCGTTCGACATACGGGGCTTGGTAGGCACTGGATTTTATAAATGGATTCAGTTTAACCGCTTGACAACCAGGCCATAGCCGAATGACGGCTGCAGCACAATTGGTCAGTTCTAGGAGGGAGTCATATGACGTCCTCCCAGAACACGCCCCTAGCGCGCACACAGCTGATCACACATGACAAGGTAAAAGGCCAATCACGGCAGCCTTTTACCACATGATCAGCTGTGTCCAATGACACAGCTGATCACAAAGTAAATACAGCTGCTGGTTATCGGCAGAACTTTCCTCACGCTGTCAGAGCACATCACTGATCAGTGCGTTTATCTGTGCCCATCATTGCCACCTATCAGTGCTGTATATAGGTGCAGTACAGGGGCAGACTGACAACTCATGGGGCCCCTGGGCAATAGGGGATCATGGGGCCCCTCTGTCCTTGGCCAAACTCAAAAAAAAGCCTATGAAAAAGGTACCGGGGCATCTCATGGGGGCCCCCTACTGACCCCGGGCCCTCGGGCAGTGCCCGAGTTTCCAAATGGTCAGTCCGCCCCTGGTGCAGTATAGTCTGTACCTCCTCATCAATCCCCACCAGTGCAGCCTCAATGCACGTCAGTGAAGGAGAAAATTTACCTGTTTGCAAAATTTTTGTAATAGAAACAAAGATTATTTTTTTTTTTGCTCTTTTATTTGTGCAAAACATAAACCCAGTGGCAGTTAAATACCACCAAAAGAAATTTCTATTTGTGTGAAAAAAAATTTCATATGTACAGTGTTGCATGACCACGCAATTGTCATTCAAAGGGCGCCAGTGCTGAAAGCTGAAAATAAGCCTGGACAGGAAGGGGGTAAAAGTGCCCAGTAGGCGAAGGGTTAAAGAAGTACAACCAAAGCTCTTTTCCTGTGGATCACAGGAGTGCAGTTTGTTCTGCATTCCTGTGACCCGTTTTTAGTGGACAGCGGGCCAATGTTTGCTGATGTTACTCAGCTGGTCCAGGCTGGGGAAAGATCCCGACTTTAAAGTTGGAATCCACCCCAGAGTCTGAAGTGGCACCTGGCTCAGCCTCTCAACGAGCCGCTGACAGCCTGAGCCAGCCGGTCCCTCCTCCATAGCCCAGTGCTCCAGTGAGGACTGGGGGGGGGGCAGAGCAGAGAGTGGTAACTGACAGTCACCGCTCTTTGCTCTGAGCAGCTGTAAGAACTCTGTGATCAACGGTCATGTGATTGCTGAGTTCTCACACTTCGAGCTCACGGGGGAGAGATGCAGTATCTACTTAGGTAAGTATGATTGAGGGAAAAAAACAAAACCCCATACTTATAATATAGTTTTTTTTTTTTTTTTTTTTTTTTTGAGACATTTTTGGAAATACTGGTATGTAACAGATTGATCTATGTGTGTTGAAAACAGTGGGCAGGTGAAAGGATTTGAGTGACTTTGACGAGAGCCAAATTGTAAAGGCTGGACGAGACTGGGTCAGAGCATCTGCAACTCTTATGGGATGTTCCCGGTCTGCAGTGGACAGGACCGACCTAAAGTGGTCCAAGGAAGGAAAACCGGTCACAGGGGAATGGCCACCAAGGCTCCTTGATCCATGTGGGGAGAGAAGATTGACCTGTGTGGTCCAATCCAATATAAGGGCTACTGTACTGTAGCTGAAAAAGTTAGGGTTCATAAACCCCGGACCCTGCATTCACTATATCTGGTCTCCCCGGACCCTGCATTCACTATATCTGGTCTCCCCGGACCCTGCATTCACTATATCTGGTCTCCCCGGACCCTGCATTCACTGTATCTGGTCTCCCCGGACCCAGCATTCACTGTATCTGGTCTCCCCGGACCCCTGCATTCACTGTATCTGGTCTCCCCGGACCCCTGCATTCACTGTATCTGGTCTCCCCGGACCCCTGCATTCACTGTATCTGGTCTCCCCGGACCCCTGCATTCACTGTATCTGGTCTCCCCCGGACCCCTGCATTCACTGTATCTGGTCTCCCCGGACCCCTGCATTCACTGTATCTGGTCTCCCCGGACCCCTGCATTCACTGTATCTGGTCTCCCCGGACCCCTGCATTCACTGTATCTGGTCTCCCCGGACCCCTGCATTCACTGTATCTGGTCTCCCCGGACCCCTGCATTCACTGTATCTGGTCCCCCGGACCCCTGCATTCACTGTATCTGGTCTCTCCCCGGACCCCTGCATTCACTGTATCTGGTCTCCCCGGACCCCTGCATTCACTGTATCTGGTCTCCCCGGACCCCTGCATTCACTGGATCCGCTCTCCCACAGTACACACAGCATGGAAATGCAATTATTTTAATAAATCTAAACCGCTAAATACCTTTTTATTAGCAGTATATAGCAGTCTTGTGACTTCTATCAGTGTCAGGCCAAGCACTGGTTAAAGCTTGGGAGGAGATTTTTCTGTTCTAGGAGGATGCAGGACCTGTGACCTTTGTATGGACAGTGCTTATTGGCCCTGTGCTGATCACATGCACTCTCCCGAGAAAAAAAACAAAACCAGACTGAGCATGTGCAAATGTCTCCAAACGATATGTCTTATCAGGAGGTAAGAGGGGAGTACTGGAAGAAGGGGAGGATCAGAGAAGTCAGGATAAACAAAGATTTTCCACAATGCAGAGGATTAACCCCTTAGATTCCACAGTGACTATAACAAGCATGCTTTACTGCAAATACAGACTGATTGTACTGTTGGGGGTTTAGTAACACTTTAATGGTGGTTCTGATACAGTCATGGCCACAAATTTTGTCCCCCCTGCATTTCAGTCAGATAATGCACCTCTTTGCCGAGAAAATTGTTGTAATTACAAATATTACATTCTCCTGTTTTTATTTTTTTGTTTTGTAATTGGTATGACACATAAAAAGGGGAGAAACAAAAAGCCAAATCTGACTCATTCCAAACAAAACCCCAAAAATGGACTGGACAGAATTATTGGCACCCTCAATGTATTTGGTCGCACACCTCTTGGAAAAAATACCTGAAATCAATGGCTTCCTTTAACCATCGATGAGTTTTTTCCATCTCTCTGCCGGAATTTTGGATCGCTCTTCTTTCACCAACTGCTCCAGTATCTCAGATTGGAAGCGTTCCTAACTACTGTTCTGAGATCTCTCCACAGGAGCTCTGTCAGGGGTCTCCAAACTTTCTATGCAAAGGGCCAGTTTACTGTCCAACAGACGTTCGGGGGGCCGGACTGGAAAATATCCTTGCATCAGTGTGAGTAAAGCCCCATCTTTGGTGTCACTGGGAGAAATTGTGCCCCATCTTTGGTGTCATTGGGATGACCTGTGCCCCATCTTTGGTGTCATTGGGATGAACTGTGCCCCATCTTTGGTGTCATTGGGATGACCTGTGCCCCATCTTTGGTGTCATTGGGATGACCTGTGCCCCATCTTTGGTGTCATTGGGATGACCTGTGCCCCATCTTTGGTGTCATTGGGATGACCTGTGCCCCATCTTTGGTGTCATTGGGATGACCTGTGCCCCATCTTTGATGTCATTGGGTTCCATTCTTGGTATCATTGGGAGGAATTTGTTGGTGTCAGTGGAATAAATAGTGCCCCAAGGGCCCGATAAAAGCAAGCAAATGGCTGCATCCTGCCACAGGCCATTTGGAGACCACTGCTCTATGGGATTGAGATCTGGACTCATTGCTGGCCAGTTCAGTACTCTCCAGGTTTGGATTTGTGCTATCCAATCTTGCCAGCCAGTGCTGCAGTTTGTTTTCTTGCTGTATGTGGAAGCTGCATTAGTTTTTTCATTTTTTTTTTTTTTCATGCTTTTTCTGCAAGTACAGAAGAATACCTGTTGATCCCGCCAGAAATGCGGGATCTGAACTGAAATCTTAGACCATGTTACCAGCTATCCTAATGTTTCTTGTTTTCCAGCATGGAATGACCCCACTGATGCACTCCGCCTACAAGGGGAAGGAGGATATGTGTAAACTACTCCTGCAGCATGGAGCAGACGTCAATTGTAATGAACATGAACATGGATACACCGCCCTGATGTTCGCCTGTCTATCAGGTAATCTGAGCGCTAGATCACTGCTTTCTTACCATTCTAGCATGTGACACACACGGGTCTTATTACCAATAGCATGTGCTTTGCATTAGGGTCCATTAACATAATGGGGTGAATTTATTAAAAAAAAAAAAAAATCTGTTCTGGGCAAATGGAGACAAAATCAAACGCAAGGCTATTTTCTACACGTTGAACGGTATTCATTCAGAATAGAGTGAATCAGGAAAATGCAGCAAGTTGACCATTAGATGGAGCTGATGATCACAGAAAATAAATATTTAATGTGATTGTCAGATCCATTGGAGGGGGAGGTCTTTGAGTCCCTGAAACGCTTTGGGTCTTCTATTGGTAGTTGTTGGTGAACCAATACTGATAATTGCTTTTGGACTGTTTGGCACTCTCATTAAATTTTAAACAAGGGGATTGTGGGAATCCGTGTACTGATGGGGAGATTTTCCTTTTACTTTCCGTTTTGGAGATGAAACGGAAGTTTCTTCTTCATGACCAGGCCATTTATACGGCGCTGTGTTACTTTAACTGATGATTTCGCAGTCATGCACCGCTGTACGTAAATGAAATTTATTAATTCCCACAGATAGAACTTTCTTTTGGTGGTACTGAGTTGTGTGTTTTTTTTGTTTTTTTTTTTTTTTTTTTTTGCGCTATTAATGAAAAAAGACTGGGAAAAAAGTATACATGTGTGCATATAAAATAATAATAAAAAAAATAAATTATTTATATATATATATATATATATATATATATATATATATATATATATATATATATATATATATATATATATATATAATTTTATTTTTTTTTTCTTTCTGCTATAAAACCTATCCTATTTATTTTTTTTAAATTTTCTTCATAAATTTAGGCCAAAATATATTCTGCTACATATAATTTTTTTTTTGTTTTTGTTTTTTTTTTTTCTTTCCCAGCCTTAATGTCTAATTTTATTGCATTTCAGTTATTTCGATAGTGGAAACTCCACATCACACATGGGTAATACCTAGGGCAGTTTACATGAAAATATTTAGTCTGCCTAGGAACGCCTACCCCTCTAGGCTGACCTCCACTTATCAAGTCATTTTTATATTTGCATAACTCCTCCCAAGAGGAGCCAGCCCACAGCTTGTATCAGGACTGGGGGTTCTTGAGGAGTACTGAAGCAGGGTGCTGTGCTGTTTTCAGGAAGCTATGTACAGCTCCCTGCTTGTCCCTCCCACCAGTCATAATCTGCCTTCATTGTATTAAGAAGCACGGAGACCCAGTCACTGGGTCTAAAATAAGATATGTAATTTAAAATGGAAAGATTCTATTTAAACATTTTAAAGCGCATGTTAATGAGGGGGAAATAGGAAAGATGGAAGGCAAATTTTAGAGGCAGATTCAATTTCAGCTTTAAACAATCCTTCCTTTTGGGGTTAATTAACCAAAGGATTAGAGAGTGGAGTTGAGCATTGACTTTGGGCAGAGCTTGTTCACTTTAGTGAATGAGGTGACGGTGCGTTTACTCTTAATACCATTCATGCAAGGGGAATCTAAATAATCGGAAAGAAGCCTAAAAAAAAAAGAAAACTAATGCAGCTACCATGTCTAATGATTGGTAATATATTACATTTTTGGTTTTAGTTTTAAGACCAGGCACAGTGGCTCCAGTGGGCCTTCTCTCAACAGTGGGGCGCCCTGTGGCAAAGAGAACCAGAAGTCAAAGATTCACATATATACAGTCTAACAACCAACGCATTTCAGGGTTCAAGAATTTCCCCTCTTCTTCCAGGCTATAAAATGGATATCTGTTTAATAACCCTGAAGGACGGCTGGTTTCAGAGCCTGAAAGGCTGTTGATGTTTCTTTCTCTCATCAATTATTAAAAATATTTAAAAGTTGTGTTTTTATATATTAAAAAAAAAAACATGCAGAACTATTCATCCAGTGAAACTCCACATACATTCACTTTGTGTGAATTAGGACAAAATTAGGTTCTTTTCTCTCCAGTTTGTTACTAATTCATAATAAGATTGATTTAGGAAAATCCTGCATTATGGGCACTAGATGGAGCTGCGATCATAGCAAATAAGTATTTATTTCCTGTGATTATCAGCTGCATCTAGTGGACATAATGTGTTTCCAAATCCCCCCCCCCCCCACCCCCCCCCCCCCCCCGCCAATGATCCAAATGATGGAACTCTACTCCTCTCACTGACCCCCCCCCAAGGATGGGGCACCATTCCTCTCACTGACCCCCCCCCAAGGATGGGGCACCATTCCTCTCACTGACCCCCCCCCAGGATGGGGCACCATTCCTCTCACTGACCCCCCCAAGGATGGGGCACCATTCCTCTCACTGACCCCCCAAGGATGGGGCACCATTCCTCTCACTGACCCCCCAAGGATGGGGCACCATTCCTCTCACTGACCCCCCAAGGATGGGGAACTATGTCACCCAGTGACACCAACAATGGGGCATAGCTTACGCTCACTGGCCATAGTCCAGCCTAAAGTCTGAAGGAAAGCAACCTGGCCCTTTGTTTAGAAAGTCTGCAGACCCCTGTTCTAACAAAATGAATGTACATGCAGTTTCATCCCTATATATGTACCCCTTGGACTGTTTATTTGGTGCTCTCATAAAACATATGTGAGGATCATTTGGACAGAGCTGATAACGTTGATCTCTATTGTTTCTTTGGCAATGTAGCAATGGTAGAGCGATGGTATCTCCTCCCTGCTCCCTCCTCCTCAGGCATAAATACAAACATATGGGCTACTAGAGCATACCATCTATGTCTGCATGTAGCTAGAATGTTAGATTGTGCATGGATGTCATCTCAGGCTGGCTGATAGCTCCGATCATTGGGTTCACATACACTATATTACCAAAAGTATTGGGCCCACCCTCCAAATCATTGGATTTAGGTATTGCAATCCCCTCCTTGGCCACAGGTGTATAAAATCATCACCTAGGCATGCAGACTGGCTTCTACAAACATTGGTGAAAGAATTGGTCGCTCTCAGGAGCTCAGTGACTCCAAGCGTGGTCCCGTGATAGGTGGCCACCTGTGCAATAAGTCCATCCGTGACATTTCCTGGCTACTAAATATTCCACGCTTAACTGTTAGTGGGATTATAACAAAGTGGAAGCAACTGGGAACGACAGCAACTCAGCCACCAAGTGGTAGGCCACGTCACATGACAGGGCGGGGTCAGCGCATGCTGAAGCGCACAGTGCACAGAAGTCACAAACTGTCTGCAGAGTCAATAGCTAAAGACCTCCAAACTTGGTGTGGCCCTCAGATGAGCCCAACAGTGTATAGAGAGCTTCATGGAATGGGTTTCCATGGCCGAGCAGCTGCATCCAAGCCTTACATCACCAAGTGTAATGCAAAGCGTCAGATGCTGTGGTGTCAAGCACGCCGCCACTGGACTCTAGAGCAGTGGAGACGTGTTCTCTGGAGTGACCAAACGTGCTTCTCTGTCTGGCAATCCGATGGACGTGTCTGGGTTTGACGGTTGCCAGAAGAACGGTACTTGCCTGACTGCATTGTGCCAAGTGTAAAGTTTGGTGGAGGGGGGATTATGGTGTGGGGTTGTTTTTCAGGGGTAGGACTTGGCCCCCTAGTTCTAGTGAAGGGAACTCTTAAGGCGTTGGCATACCAAGACATTTTGGACAATTTCATAATCCAACTTTATGGGAAGAGTTTGGGGATGGCACCTTCCTATTCCAACATGACTGCGCACACCAGTGCACAAAGCAAGGTCCATAAAGACATGGAGGATCCAGTTTGGGGTGGAGGAACTTGACTGGCCTGCACAGAGTCCTGACCTCAACCCCATAGAACACCTTTGGGATGAATTAGAGCGGAGACTGCGAGCCAGGCCTCCTCCCCCGACATCAGTGCCTGACCTCACAAATGTGCTTCTGGAAGAATGGTCCAACCTTCCCATAGACACCCTCCTAAACCTTGTGGACGGCCTTCCCAGAAGAGTTGAAGCTGTTATAGCTGCAAAGGGCGGGGCCAACTCAATATTGAACCCTACGGACTAAACTGGGAGGCCATTAAAGTTCATGTGCGTGGAAAGGCAGGCCGACCAATACTTTTGGCAATATAGTGTATCTCACCATCGCTTTTGTAAGCCCTCCAATCTCAGAGCAGCAAGCCACACATCTCTACAGAGGTTTTTGCTTTTAACTTCAACTCCCATTTAGACCTGATTAGTCAGAGCACTTTGCTTTAAATGTCACATTGTCCCGGAATGCATTCAGGGAGCAGAGCACAATAAGCTGTAATGAGCCGTACACTCGAAGGTGTATCAAGGCATATATTTAGTGTTTTGAGTTTTTTTATATATACACACAGAGCAAGCGGGCTGAAAATTTGATTTGATCGGCATTTGTAATTCTCTGACCTTCTCCTAGGTTGGGTCTCCGGTGCCTCGCCAGAGATTGTTCAGTCTGGCTGAGCTCCACTAATAACAAGGTGCCTGCTCAGGGGACGGGTAGAGAGGCGGCATTCATTTACTAAGCTGTATGAGCTGTGAAAGGCGTTCAGTAATTTGTTGAAAACTTTTGCTCAATATATCTTTATTGCAAAAATGTATATAATTCACAGCCGTAGATTTTTCATTTCTTTACACATAGTCAGCTTACCCTTTCGCTGTCAGAGCAGTTTTGGAGTTTTTTTGCACACATGTTTAACCCCTCGCCTACAGGGCAATTATACCCCCTTCCCGCCAGGCCAATTTCCAGCTTTCAGCGCTGACGCACTTTGAATGAAAATTGCGTGGTCTAGCAACACTGTACCCATATGAAATTTTTAGCATTTTTTTTTTTGTGACAGAGCTTTATTTTGGTGGTTTTAATCACCTCGGGGTTTTTTATTTTTTCTTAAACAAACCAAACACCACTGAATATTTTGAAAAAAAAAAGTTTTTTCTTAGTTTTCGTTATAAAATTTTGTAAATAAGTGATTTTTCTCCTTCACTGATGTGTGCTAATGAGGCTGCATCGATGGGCATTGATAGGCTGCACAGATGAGGAAGCACTGGTAGGTGGCACTGATGGGCGTTGACAGGCATCACTGATTAGCACTGATACATGGCACTGACTGGCACTGATAGGCAGCACTGACTGGCACTGATGGGTGACACTGAAAGGCAGCTCAGATGGGCACTGATATGTGGCACTGATGGGTACTGGCACGAGGGACTGATGAGCACTGACACAAGGCACTGATGGACACTGACAGGTGGCGCTGCTGGGGCTACACAGATCATCAGGGCACACTGATCATCAGTGCCCTGATGATCAGTTTACATGTCCCCTCCTCATAAAGCCGATTACTGGCTCTCCTCTCCTTTCTCAGCGTGACAGCTCGAGAGGAGAGAAATGCCGATAACCAGCATTTCCCTGTTTACATGCGATCAGCTGTGATTGGACACAGCTGATCACATGACCGAGCCGACATCTTCGGCTCTTTCCGTGGATCGGTGATCCACTGTGTCCGAGGGACACAGCGCACCGCCGATAGCCATGCTGTATGCTCCCTGAGCCACGCATGCGCAATGAGAATGGGAAGACCTATGAACGAGAGAACCACCTTGCGTCCGTCATATTACTATATGGCGGGAGGTGGTTAAAGAAACCATGTTAGGTCTGAAGATTGCATAACCCCCCCCAAACATATATTTTCTAAAAGCAGGCACCCTAGAGAATAAAATAGTGGTAGTTCCAATTTCTTTTATGTCACACAATAGTTCAGTAAAAATTACACTAAAGTTAATTTTAGGGCACACAGGTGCAATAAATTACCCAATTTATGGTGAAAGATGAGATGAGGTTGCACCGAGTAAATGGATACCCAACATGTCAAACCAAGTTACATGTGCCTGCGAAATGGCGGCAAACTTCAGTATCCTTTATTTTCTATAGGCAAAATTTTAAAAGCCCCCCTATAGGTCATCAGTTTACCATTATGGAGGAGGTTAGTGCTACAAATATTGTCATCACTCTGGTGTGCGCGGCAATATGCAATGTTTATACCATCGACATTCTGATGTGTGGACACCTCTGACACATTTTACATTCATACATGGGTTTTTATAGGGGTGAGGGGGCCTCAAAAAAAAAGGTTTGGTTTTTTTTTGGGGGGGGGGGGATTTTATATGCTCGGGTGTAACTTACATGTTTTACGTTTTTATTTATTTCTATTTTGCTTAATTTTTTTTTCCATCACATAGTCCTGTTTTTTTTTTTTTTTTTGTTTTTTGACAGGTTCTCTTTAATGAGACATCTCCTCTGTGCTCCACTGAATGTAATGCAATGCAGATTGAATTCCAGTACATACTTTCCCAGCCATTTTGCCCGGCATGGGGACCCAGTTGAGACATTTTACACGTCGCTACCGGGTCAGCAACAAGAAGGGGAGGAGAGCAGATGTGTGTCCGCTCTGCTCCCTCTCCTCTACCCGGCAGGACCCACTATGCCAGTCATGGTCCCACATATGGACAAGCGGATCCTGCACATGGGGGCAGCCTGTTTCCAGTGTGTATGAAAGCAATCCAGCATTGCCAGAGGCACAAGACTTCCTTCATCTGACAGCTAGAAGTCCGCTTGTGTGATTTCTCCTGCTGCCAGGTCCATACGACTTGCGCTCCTGGCAGCAAAAGGGATGAGTTTTTTTAATACCCATCGCTCTGAAGGACTTTTTGTTTTACAAGTCGAAGCACAAAAACCTTAATTATTTACAATTTCAGATTTTTGCAACGTGCTTCTGAACTTGCTAGAAAATGACTGTACTTCATCTCCTTTCACTGCCTAGTCATAGGTTAATGGTGAGTCCAAGGCGACCTGAGCTCAAAGGAACCCGGTAGAATGATGCTGACCATCAGCATGAGGACTTCTAGTGGCAGAAAAATGTATTGCGGGGGGGAATCCTTTGTAATAAAGGGGATTACTGCAGTAAAAGCTGATTTAAATTTATCTTTATGGGCTATCTAATTGAACTTTTAGGTATAATAAGATCAATACATTGAGGGTACATTAAATGCAAGGTGTACAAGTCTTCGTTAAAAAAATTTGAATAGTGGGGTAGTGTTTTTTATACTTTCCTTATTGGATTTGACCTCAGTTTTTGTAATAGACTAAGACTGAAGCTGGCAACTATAGACCAGTTAACATTTGTTGTAGTCGGCACTCCTTGAATAGTTTTCAGGTACTCCCATCCTCCTGCCAACTTTGACCATCTCCTGTAATATGCCCGCTGTCCCTGTCCAAGTTCTGGCGGGGTGCCGGCCGGCTCGGTCTGGCCGGCTCTGGCGGGGTGCCGGCCGGCTCGGTCTGGCCGGCTCTGGCGGGGTGCCGGCCGGCTCTGTCTGGCCGGCTCGGTCTGGCCGGCTCTGGCGGCCGGCTCGGTCTGGCGGGGTGCCGGCCGGCTCGGTCTGGGCTCTGGCGTCGGTCTGCGGGGTGCCTCGGTCTGGCGGGGCCGGCCGGTCTGGCCGGCTCTGGTGGCGTGCCCTGGCGGGGGCCGGCCGGCTCTGGTAGTATGTTTGTTTGTAGTAATATTTACAGCCCCCTTTTGATATCTGGAACCATGTTTGAGGCCCCCAATGTCTAGTAAGTTGACCACCACTATTCTAAGAGACAGTAATTTATGAAAGGTAATGTTTGCACTTTAGAACTTCTTCTGAATTGTATTTTCTTTTGTTCTCTTGTTCCTCCACTTTTCAGAAGTCCTTTCAGCATGATGGGTGCAATTTAATCCCTAACATGCAGGTTTCAGAGCCGCGACATATTGTGAAGTGTTGCTTTTTTCTTTGGAACAGTGTAAACCCATGTCATGTCATCCTCACCTTAGAGTAACGTGTTTTTGCAGCTTCACAAATGGAAAAGAGAGTAAGATAATTAATGGTTGCTGACTGCGCCGCACACCTTTCAAATTACCAACATCACATTCACCCCGCGAGGAGGACACCAATTATCACCTCTCAGAGTAATAATGCACTTCTCTCTGGCTGGTTTGTCTTGCAGGAAACAAAGACATTGTGTGGATGATGCTCGAGGCCGGAGCGGACACTGATGCCGTCAACTCGGTGGGGCGGACAGCGGCGCAAATGGCAGCTTTTGTAGGTAAAACCGCCAATCGTTTGTTTCTGGGAACATAGAAAGGTTGGTGGGGTTAAAATAATTTTTCTGGAATTTGTCTGTTACGATCATTTTTTATTTATTTTTTCTTCTAAAAAGCCCACTCCAGATGAGCACTCCATCACCCTTTTAGTGTAATTTTTTTAGATATTTTTTTCAATGGGTCTGGTTGCTTGACATTGCCAGTCCTTTAATTCCTCGGTAGAAGGCCAGTCCTGAATGCTACAGAGAAAATAGTCATGGTTCTGCACTTTGCAGCATTCTCCTGTGAGCTCAGGCCAGCCTAATAACACATTCTGGGCTCACAGGAAATGGGTTGAATGATGCTAGGCGCCCATCGGCCCGGAAGTGAATCTGTGCTGGATCGTAGGGGACAAATGAAGAGCTAATAAAGAGGTGTTAATATTTATTCATTTTTATTCAAATAATGCGAAGGGTCATGGGGGATGTACAAGGTGGTTATATTCTATCTATTTTTTGGGGGGGGTTTTTTTTCTATTCTATTTTTCTATTCTAATTTTTTTTTGTTTTCAAATTTCGTCTGAATTTCGTTTCGTTATTTCGGATTTGTTACTATTGTGATTCGTAAAAGTAAAAATTAGTCCAAATTTAGCGGGGTTGGGAGATAATCGAACCACGCATGTCTAATCACTAGAGGGGTCACCAGCAGGCGGAAGGAGGTCCTGATTCTTAGATATAGATCAGTGGTGGGCAACCTTTTTTTTCAACTGAGCCAAATCTCGCCAAAACCACAATTGAAATTTATTTTGAGAGCCACATTTTTTTCAAAACTTTCAGAAAAATACATCCCCATATAGTAATTTTTTTTCATCCCGCATATAGTAATCCTCACCTTAGCATATGTTTTTCATCACAAATGGTAAAAGAGAGTAGTGAATGTCTGATCCCCCCCAAATTAGTGAGTCCCCCCCCGAGGAGGACCCAATTATCACCTCTCAGAGTCCCCCCCCTCTCTGGCTATTGTGAGTCCCCGCGGAAACAAAGACATTGTAGTGATGATGTCCCCCCACCATGCCGTCAAACTAGTGGGGCCAGCGGCCCCCAAATGGCAGCTTTAGTAGGTCCCCCCCCCATATAGTGAGTTTCCCCCCCATAGAAAGGTGGTGGGGTTAAAATAATTTTTCTGGAATTTGTCTGTTACGATCATTTTTTAGTTTAGTTTTTTTCCCTAAAGCCCCCCATATGAGCACTCCATCCCCTTTTAGTGTCAATTTTTTTAGATTTGCTTTTTCAATGCGCGTTCTTGTGCATTGCCAGCGCCTTTGGTCTTAGAAGGCCAGTCTGTGCTAGAGGAGAGGAGTTTGTCCTGCTGCACTTTGCAGCTTCATCCTGTGAGCTCCCAGCCTAATAACACATTCCTGGGCTCACAGGAAATGGGTCCTGAATTTTGGGGCGGCCCATCGGCCCGAAGTGAATCTGTGCTGGATCGTAGGGGACAAATGAAGAGCTAATAAAGAGGCCGTTAATATTTATTCATTTTTTTATTCAAATAATGCGAGGGTCATGGGGGATGTACAAGGTGGTTATATTCTATCTATTCTTTTGGGGGGTTTTTTTTTTCCTATGCTACACGCCAAATTTCGTCCGAAGGAGGTTTCGTTATTTCGGATTTGTTACGGGCGATTCGTAAACAGTAAGAATTAGTCCGCATTTAAGCTTGGAAAATCGAGCCACATGTCTAATCACTAGAGGGCACCAGCAGGCGGACCACTTAGATATAGATCTTTAGTTCTCTGTTTTGGGCTCCATACACTAGTGTTATTTTAAGCTGCTGTTTGCCTTTTCTGCTCCTAAAAGGTAAATGGTGTTCTATGTGTCCATGCACACTACTGCAGGCTATTAGCATTTTTTTTTGAGCTTTAGCATCTAAAAGTAGAAAAAAAAATTTTGTTTTTGTAGAGCTTTTTTTTGTGTTGGTTCTTTTTTTTTTTTTAGCTTTTTTTTTTTTTTTCCCTTTTCTACATGTAAAAGCGCTAATAAGATGAAAATGCTTCTGAACGCTACTAAAAAACCGCTATTACCCGCATTTTTTCACCAACGTTTATTTTTAGCTTAAAAAAACTCTAGCATGCATGGAGCCCTAAATGCAAACTGTTTAGCAGAACTGTACCCCCCGTAATTTGCTTGCTTTTTGTCTTGTAACTTGTCCATTGTACAGTTTCTGTCCTTTATCATCAGGTCAGCATGATTGCGTCACAGTCATTAATAATTTCTTCCCGCGTGAGAAACTGGATTATTACACCAAGCCTCAAGGACTCAGCAAAGAACCAAAGCTACCTGTGAAGCTAGCCGGACCTCTACACAAGATTATTACGACGACAAACCTCCATCCTGTGAAGGTAGCGCTCATTCATTCTTTAACCCCTTGACGCCGACTGTACGCAAATATGCGACCTCCCGGCAGCTGGGCCTTGACGCCAAGCGGACGCATATTTGCGTACCATGTGCTGAGTGCTTGCCCTGCGCGCTCCCAGCACATATACTGTGTCTCACGGAAAGGTCTCGATCTCCCCTTGTGATCGAGACCTTTTCTGTTCATGTGACCCTAAAACCGTGCCTGACACTCCTTAAAGGGCCGGAAGGCGCCGCCTTGAAGAGGTTAAACTGTTTTTATATCACACCACCACTCTGTTCCTAAAGAACTTACAAAGGAGAGTTTTATGAGTGACTGACCTCTAAAGTAGATTTAAATCCTAAGAGCTTCACGCCATCGTGTTTTATGTACGTTACTTTGCAGGATCATGTAAGTTAGTTATAGAGCGAGTGAGAGAGAGTTACAGTACTCCCAGAAGTGAGTCCACCCCTCACATTTTTGTAAATATTTGATTCTCTCTTTTCATGTGACAACACTGAAGAAATGACACTTTGTTACAATGTGACGTAGTCAGTGTACAGTTTATATAACATGTAAATTTTCTGCCCCCCCCCCCCCCCCCCCCAAAATAACTCAACACACCACCATTAATGTCTAACCCTCTGGCAACAAAAGTGAGTCCACCCCTAAGTGACAAGGTCCAAATTGGGCCCAATTAGCCATTTTCCCTCCCCGGTGTCATGTGACTCGTTTGTGTTACAAGGTCTCAGGTGTGAATGGGGAGCAGGTGTTACATTTGGTATTTCTCTCACTCTTACTGGTCACTGGAAGTTCAACATGGCACCTCATGGCAAAACTCTCTGAGGATCTGAAAAAAAGGATTGTTGCTCTACATAAAGATGGACTTAGGCCCTAGGCTATAAGAAAACTTCCAAGACCCTGAAACTGAGCTGCAGCACGGTGGCCAAGACCATACAGCGGTTTAACAGGACAGGTTCCACTCAGAGCAGGCCTCGCCATGGTTGACCAAAGAAGTTGAGTGCACGTGCTCCGCATCATATCCAGAGGTTGTCTTTGGGAAATAGGCGTATTAGTGCTGCCAGCATTGCTGCAGAGGTTGAAGGGGGGGGGGGGTCAGTCTGTCAGTGCTCAGACCAAACGCTGCACACGACATCAAATTGGTCTGCATGGCTGTCGTCCCAGAAGGAAGCCTCTTCTAAAGATGATGCACAAGAAAGCCGCAAACAGTTTGCTGAAGACAAGCAGACTAAGGACATGGATTACTGGAACCATGTCCTGTGGTCTGATGACACCAAGATAAACTGATTTGGTTCAGATGGTGTGAAGCATTTGTGGTGGCAACCAGGTGAGGAGTACAAAGACAAGTGTGTCTTGCCTACAGTCAATCATGGTGGTTGGAGTGTCATGGTCTGGGGCTGCATGAGTGCTACCGGCGCTGGGGGGCTACAGATCATGGAGGGAACCATGAATGCCAACATGTACTGTGACATACTGAAGCAGAGCATGATCCCCTCCCTTTGGAGACTTGGCTGCAGGGCAGTATTCCAACATAAACACCTCCAAGACCACCACTGCCTTGCTAAAGAAGCTGAGGTAAAGGTGATGGACTAGCCAAGCATGTCTCCAGACCTAAACCCTATTGAGCATCTATGGGGCATCCTCACATGGAAGGTGGAGGACCGCAAGGTCTCTGACATCCACCAACTCCATGATGTCATGGAGTAGTGGAAGAGGACTCCAGTGGCAACCTGTGAAGTTCTGGTGAACTCCATGCCCAAGAGGGTTAAGGCAGTGCTGGAAAATAATGGTGGCCTCACAAACTATTGGCACTTTGGGCCCAATTTGGACCTTGTCACTTAGGGGTGGACTCACTTTTGTTGCCAGCGGTTTAGACATTAATGGCGGTGTGTTGAGTTATTTTGAAGGGACAGCAAATTTCCATGTTATACAAGCTGTACACTGACTACGTCACATTGTAGCAAAGTTATTCCTTCAGTGTTGTCACATGAAAAGGTAGAATCAAATATTTACAAAGATGTGAGGGGTGGACTCACTTCTGGGAGATACTGTATATATAAAGCTCTTCACATCAGTGCCGTACATTAAGCATTGCACACATCTGCTTGCATGCATAGTTTTTCTGGATACTGCAGATGTGCATTGTAAAGGGTGGTGAGAATTTTTTTATTTTATTGAAAGTTTAAAAAAAAAAAAAAAAAAAAACCCCACTGCATTCAAGTTTGTGCAATGCAGCGCCTCGCAATTTACATTGATATGCATTGTGATATGCTGCATTTTTATGAAACTCACAACGCACATGTGCACATAGAGAACAGTCGTTTTCTACATCTTCTTGCATTTGGTCTAATTGAAGATCAGCACAGATCAACGCATCTGGTGTAAATGAGCCTTTCAAGGGCAGCGTGTTGCTGTTCGATACATTTGTTGTGTAATATCTATTTGGTGCACATTACATTACTATACATGGCTATGCATGGAAAGCACACTGAAAGCTTGCAAAATGCGTTTTAGATTAGATTGGGCGTATTTTAAAAACATGCAATGACAGATACACCCTACAACTGCCAAACCCAGACACATCCATTGGATTGCCAGGCAGAGAAGCGTGATTGGTCACTCCAGAGAACACATCTCCACTGCTCTAGAGTCCAGTGGTGGCGTTCTTTACACCACGGCATCCGACGCTTTGCATTGCACTTGGTGATGGAAGGCTTGGATGCAGCTGCTCGGTCATGGAAGCTCATTCCATGAAGCTCTCTGTGCACTGTTGTGCTAATCTGAAGGCCACACCAAGTTTGGAGGTCTTTAGCTATTGACTCTGCAGACAGTTGGCGATTTCTGTGCGCTTCAGCATGTGCTGACCCCGCTCTGTCATGTGACGTGGCCTACCACTTGGTGGCTGAGTTGCTGTTGTTCCCAGTGGCTTCCACTTTGTTATAATCCCACTAACAGTTGAGCGTGGAATATTTAGTAGCCAGGAAATGTCACGGATGGACTTATTGCACAGGTGGCCACCTATCACGGGACCACGCTTGGAGTCACTGAGCTCCTGAGAGCGACCCATTCTTTCACCAATGTTTGTAGAAGCAGTCTGCATGCCTAGGGGCTTGATTGTATACACCTGTGTCCATGGAGGGGATTGGAACACCTGAACCCACATGATTTGCAGGTCAGGCCCAATACTTTTGTTTTTTTTTTTTTTTTTTTTTTTTCATCTTGGTATTTAGGGTTTCACCTTGAACTTCATCTCCAAGTAAAGTAAATATTGTGTTAATGCAGGAGTAATGTGATTTCCTCCTGAACCTAAGTGTGCTTTGTACATTTCTTCCAGATTTGTGTAGTAGTCCAGTGTGAGACTTCCTGTCCTAAAGACTGCTCACTGCTGCTCTCTCCTTGTGCTGGGTAACTGGTCTTGTCTCTGCCCCCCTTTCTGCAGGCAACGTGTAGTGGGTGGGGCCTGCTGGGCCCCTCCCACAGCTCTGCTTCCTACAGACTATGTAGAGCACAATGATTATGTCACTGCTACTTTTACAAGGTAATATTTGGGTTTTCAAAGGCATTTGGTGCACACAAAGCAGATTTATATCCTTTGAGGCTGTTGAGGAAATGTATTTAAATGAGAGTTTTTGTGCCTGGAGTTCAGCTCTATTTTTATATATCACATTATCAAGCTAGGACATATCCGATACTTAATTTTTTTCATCTTCCAAAACCATGTTAATCCGTAAAATAAACATTTTCTTCTTACAGATCATTTTCCTGATTCAGGAGAACCCGCTACTGCTGGATCAGGAAGCTCTGAAGAAATGCAGCACAGTGCTGGATCTGATCTGTGAGAAGTGTATGAAGCAGAAGGACATGAATGAGGTCCTGGCCATGAAGATGCATTACATCAGCTGCATCCTCCAGAAATGCACCACTTTCCTGCACGAGGGGGAAGATAAGCTGGACCCTCTCATTAAAAGGTAAGAATCTAATGATGGAGGATGCATGTTACAGCTTGCATGTCATAAGGGGACCAGTAAGGGTGCAAACACCAATCATAGTGTTAGAGATGTGGTTGTCAACTTTATAAGTTGGCATCACTAAAGGGCTTTCACATAACGTTCACTATATGTAATTTTACAGAACACTGTCAATGGACAAACCACAGGAGATGGTCAAAGACTACGATATTTTACAGGTGTAGTTGGAGACATGGTGCAGGACACAGAATCTGGGAACATATAACAAGAGACTGCTAGAGATCACTGCCATTGCAGTCCCTTTACAATTCAATGCTTCCACTACTGATTGTTGGGGCCTGGGCACTGCACAAAAAGTACCAAAGGGCTGAAGGTTGAACAGCAGGGTGTTAGAGTCAGACTAAGGACAGCAGTGCTGAGCTAGGTATTGGGGCCCAAAAACAGGGTTATGTGTACTAAAGAGAATGAATATGGCAGACATCTGGGAGGTGGAAGATCCTTACTGAAAGAGGAACTTGGCCCAAATGTCTAAATATGGGGGGGGGGGAGAAAGTGTGATCAAAAAACAGCTTGAAACCTTCCAAAACGATGCTTTTGAGGTAAGCTCACAAGGTGTGAACCAGGCACCAAAGGACTTCCACAAAATATTACACACATTGCAGAATAAGCCCAGCTGAGAGAAGTCAACCACAAGACACCAACCAACAAACAATCCAATAAATGGAAAGAATGCAAAGCATTGAGGAACACCTTATGGACGGTCTCAAATACCAAACACAGAGACCCCAACAACACTGACCTAAGGATAGCCCAAGCACCCTATAGAAAAAAAAATACAAACCCTTAAAAAAAAAAAAAACACAATTTCATCTCCAACAACCTGCAACAGTTAGATGCACTTCAGGAAAACTTTCTGGGAGATATGGAGGAACATTGGCTCAGCACCCAGGAAAAATAACCTCCACATCCAAAATGGCAACATCTGGCTCAACCACTTTAAGAGCCTCTACAAAGATTATTCCAAAAGGTGTTAACTGTGGAACAAAAAGACGTAATCAAAAGACTAAATGATATGGAGGAAAAAAAATCAACTACTTTCAAAACACCCTGGATGTGTTGATTACACTACACAAACTAATGGGGAGATGACAACACCTGAGAACTAAAAAAGCCAGAGGAATGGATGGAATCCTACCAGAGATGATTAAACACAGCTCCTCAGATATGCATGCAACAATATGTAAAGTGTTCAATCTGGTCCTGAGTGCTGGTTACTACCCTCACGTTTGGAACCAAGGCCTCATAACACCCATCCATAAGAGGGGAGACCAGTATAATCCAGCCAACTAGAGGGTTATGTGTCAGCAGCACACACACGGAAACTTCAACCGTATCCTCAACAAAAGAATCCTCAGCTTCCTGATGCAACACAATGTCCTCAGTAGAAGCCAGGCGTGGTTCATGTCAAACCACCACACTACTGATAACATCTACACCCTGCACAGCCTCATCAAGCACCATTTCCGCAATATAAAACATGGAAAGATATTTGCCTGATGTGTGGACTTTAAGAAGGCCTATGACTTGACACATACCATCAAGAGTTCATATACTGAGAACAGCTGCAGCGTAAAGGTGAACGGGAAAAGAACAGAACACTTCCGTTAGGTCCGTGGAGTCAGACAGGGCTGCAGCCTGAGTCCAGCCATCTTCAACATCTACATCAATGAACTGGCTGCAGCTCTAAAATCCTCCCCAGCACCTGGACTGACTCTACATGACGCTGAGGTGAAGTTCCTGCTGTATGCAGATGACGTCCTACTACGGTCACCAACAGAGAAAGGACTACAACACAGCCTCGAAATGCTGGAGCAATACAGTGCCGCATGGGCACTACCTATCAATTCAAAGATAACAAAAATCATGGTGTTCCAAAGGAAGAACGTAAAACTAAGAACTTCCTTCACATTAAACAAATGCACTCTTGATTAATCCCACAGCTACACATATCTTGGCCTAGAAATGAAGCAATCAGGAAGTTTCAGTCCAGCCAAAAGAGTCCTAAAAGACAAGGCATGCAAAGCCTTCTACGCCATCACAGCTGTACCACCTAAAACAACCGGTGAGAGTCTGACTTAGAATCATTGATACCGTTCTCATCCCAATCCTTTATGGCAGTGAAGTTTGGGGTTTTGTCACCTACCCAGACCAATCTGGAGGAGAGAGAGAGACTAGAATAGATTTTTTTTTTTTTTTTTTTTTTTTTTTTTTAAATCGGTGTTTAGTGTCACTGTAATACCCTTTGATACTATTCTTATTGTGCTTTCATGTGTATCTGTCAGATACATGTGCACAAATTTGAGTTATAACTCCTCTGTATGTGTGTTTAGCTACCTTTCCTTCATAACATGTAATGGTTGGATTCAAAGAAAAAAAATCTGCAGGGTAATTAAATTAGTGAAGTGTTAACTGGTGAAATGGTTCCCCATCGTTGGTGTCCGTGGGAGGAACGGTGCCCCATCGTTGGTGTCCGTGGGAGGAACGGTGCCCCATCGTTGGTGTCCGTGGGAGGAACGGTGCCCCATCGTTGGTGTCCGTGGGAGGAACGGTGCCCCATCGTTGGTGTCCGTGGGAGGAACGGTGCCCCATCGTTGGTGTCCGTGGGAGGAACGGTGCCCCATCGTTGGTGTCCGTGGGAGGAACGGTGCCCCATCGTTGGTGTCCGTGGGAGGAACGGTGCCCCATCGTTGGTGTCCGTGGGAGGAACGGTGCCCCATCGTTGGTGTCCGTGGGAGGAACGGTGCCCCATCGTTGGTGTCCGTGGGAGGAACGGTGCCCCATCGTTGGTGTCCGTGGGAGGAACGGTGCCCCATCGTTGGTGTCCGTGGGAGGAACGGTGCCCCATCGTTGGTGTCCGTGGGAGGAACGGTGCCCCATCGTTGGTGTCCGTGGGAGGAACGGTGCCCCATCGTTGGTGTCCGTGGGAGGAACGGTGCCCCATCGTTGGTGTCCGTGGGAGGAACGGTGCCCCATCGTTGGTGTCCGTGGGAGGAACGGTGCCCCATCGTTGGTGTCCGTGGGAGGAACGGTGCCCCATCGTTGGTGTCCGTGGGAGGAACGGTGCCCCATCGTTGGTGTCCGTGGGAGGAACGGTGCCCCATCGTTGGTGTCCGTGGGGAGGAACGGTGCCCCATCGTTGGTGTCCGTGGGGGAGGAACGGTGCCCCATCGTTGGTGTCCGTGGGAGGAACGGTGCCCCATCGTTGGTGTCCGTGGGAGGAACGGTGCCCCATCGTTGGTGTCCGTGGGGGAACGGTGCCCCATCGTTGGTGTCCGTGGGAGGAAGGAACGGTGCCCCATCGTTGGTGTCCGTGGGAGGAACGGTGCCCCATCGTTGGTGTCCGTGGGAGGAACGGTGCCCCATCGTTGGTGTCCGTGGGAGGAACGGTGCCCCATCGTTGGTGTCCGTGGGAGGAACGGTGCCCCATCGTTGGTGTCCGTGGGAGGAACGGTGCCCCATCGTTGGTGTCCGTGGGAGGAACGGTGCCCCATCGTTGGTGTCCGTGGGAGGAACGGTGCCCCATCGTTGGTGTCCGTGGGAGGAACGGTGCCCCATCGTTGGTGTCCGTGGGAGGAACGGTGCCCCATCGTTGGTGTCCGTGGGAGGAACGGTGCCCCATCGTTGGTGTCCGTGGGAGGAACGGTGCCCCATCGTTGGTGTCCGTGGGAGGAACGGTGCCCCATCGTTGGTGTCCGTGGGAGGAACGGTGCCCCATCGTTGGTGTCCGTGGGAGGAACGGTGCCCCATCGTTGGTGTCCGTGGGAGGAACGGTGCCCCATCGTTGGTGTCCGTGGGAGGAACGGTGCCCCATCGTTGGTGTCCGTGGGAGGAACGGTGCCCCATCGTTGGTGTCCGTGGGAGGAACGGTGCCCCATCGTTGGTGTCCGTGGGAGGAACGGTGCCCCATCGTTGGTGTCCGTGGGAGGAACGGTGCCCCATCGTTGGTGGTGTCCGTGGGAGGAACGGTGCCCCATCGTTGGTGTCCGTGGGAGGAACGGTGCCCCATCGTTGGTGTCCGTGGGAACGGAACGGTGCCCCATCGTTGGTGTCCGTGGGAGGAACGGTGCCCCATCGTTGGTGTCCGTGGGAGGAACGGTGCCCCATCGTTGGTGTCCGTGGGAGGAACGGTGCCCCATCGTTGGTGTCCGTGGGGAGGAACGGTGCCCCATCGTTGGTGTCCGTGGGAGGAACGGTGCCCCATCGTTGGTGTCCGTGGGAGGAACGGTGCCCCATCGTTGGTGTCCGTGGGAGGAACGGTGCCCCATCGTTGGAGTGTAGTTTGGAGACCACTGATCTAGGGGAGGGGAGGAAGGGCTTTCTCAGCTAAGGACTCCCTCCTGCCTGCATGCCTGAGTTAAGGGCAGATGGATTCCAGAAAGTAAATGCTAGATGAATCATCTGCCCTTAATCAAATGGTGATGGCTACGAAAGATAGGATGTTTTTTTCAAAGGGATTTCTCAACAAAATAAAGCATGGAGACATGGATGGAGTTTGCTTTGAATAGTGTTTTCGCTTTGTGGCGCTCCGATACCGCTTAGTTCTATTATGTTCTATTATTACAATGTGGAGGCAGAATCATTGTGGTTTCATTTTGCTACAAAGAATGCATTTGAAAACTTTCTATTTTTTAGCTTATTGAAAGGCAGGGACAGTGACTGCTTTCCCGTTTTCCAAGAAAAGTTCATCCGGGAAAGTATCCGGAAGTTTCCGTTCTGCGAAGCCACACTCCTGCAGCAGCTGGTCCGAAGTATCGCGCCTGTGGAAATCGTAAGAGCCGTATTCATTATCATAGTAGATGCTCCAGATTGTTTAATCTAAATATATTATTTAAATAGCAACTTTTAGAATTCTAAAATACAATTTAAGGTGAATCCATGATATGTGGACTTGGTGGCTGCCATTGCTGACCTCATTCTGAAAATACAACTTGCTTGGGTACCGTGCTGACCCTCAACCTCTGCATTTTCCTTGTGACTTTTCTGACCTGCTGTCCTTGGTCAGCGACTTGTTCTGGGTCAGTCGTTCAACAGATTGAGTCAAGATGGTGAATGATAGCCAAGCAACCAGCATTTTCAGCAGGAGGTTAGTAATGGCCGACTCTTCTCTCGGTATCGGTTTCTTTTAACCCCTTCCTGCCCCCAAACTGTAGATTGGCTTATGCTTCGGTTGCATTAAACTACATCCTTCCTTTGATCGCTACCATGAATGATCAAAGTGGTTCATGTGATCACTGTCAGTTATGACATGGTAACCACATGCTAGCAAGCTTGATGCTTAATTTACAAAACCGATGTCTCTGCAGCCTGAAAATGGCAGTGTGCAGACCACCCTATAGCAGTTTTACTGCTACAAGGTGGCCCTCCTGTGCAAAAGTGTGTGTGTGTGTGTGTGTGTGTGTGTGTGTGTGTGTGTGTGTGTGCGCACGTGTTTATGTGATGTGATTTTGCACTTCCACTGGAGGGGGGTGCGCACACGTGGCCAGCGGCTTGCTTCTGTTAACACTCACAGCAGAAGCCAATCTGCGAGTGCCAGTGAACGAGCTCTGCCTATGTAAACAAGGCAGAGCTCTGTTCTGACCACTAGGGAAGTGAAAGATCATGTGTCCATGCAAAGCTGGGAACATGATCTTTCACTTCCCCTAGTACAAGCACCACCCAGTGTACACCAAGCACATAGCTAGGCACACATTTAACTCTTTGCCCGAGATGTTAACCCCTTCCCAACCAGTGTCATTACTACAGTGATCAGCTATTTTTAGCACCGATCAGTGCATTAGTGTCACTGGTTCCCAAAGAGTGTCAGTGTAAAAATGTCCGCCGCAATATCAATTCCGCTAGAAGTCGCTGATCGCCACCATTACTAGTATTAAAAAAGAAATAAATCTTAATTCCAGTATACTTCCTAGAGTTTGTAGACACTAACTTTTGCGAAAACGAATCAATATACAGTTATTGGGCTTTTTTTTTTCCAAAGATATGTAGCAGAATACATTTTGGCCTAAATATAAATACATTTTTAGATTTTTTTTTTTTTTTTATTTATTTTTTATTGGATGTTTTATAATGGCAAATAAAAAATATTTGTTTTTTTTTTAAACTTGTCAGACTTTTTTTTTGTTTAACGCAAAAAGTAAAAACCACAGAGGTGATAAAATACCACCAAAAGAAAGCTCGATTTGTGGGGGGAAAAAAAAGGATGTCAATTTCACTTAGGTGCAGCGTTGCATGACCGTGCAATTGTCAGTTAAAGTAACACAGCGCCGTATCGCAAGTTCTGTATTGCGCTGGTAAAGCATTTTAAAAATTGTTGTGGCAGTGTGTCCAGGGAGGAACCCGATGGCAGAAGAGGAGGCTTTCTGTTTCCATGCTGCAGTAATTAAAGTAAAACTAAAGGCAAAACTTTCTTTTTTTTTATTTAGTTTTGGATGGAGTTGCGAGGGATTAGAACACCTGTCAGATTTGTAATTGCTTTCTGGGCCCCAGATTAGGTAGCTTCACCCTCTCCATATGTCTTATTTACCTTCAATACGGAGATTGAATGCAAAAGAAAATACCAAATTTTTGGTTGTCATAAGAACAGTAGCATAGTCTTCCAATAGGGACACTAGTTCTGATGACAACCAGGGATTCCCTTGCATAGGAGGGGTTTCCTCTCGCTTCCTGTTGTGGCAATGGGACAGGAAGTGAAGGGAATTCTCCCTAATGGGACAAAGAGTAAGGGAGTGTTCTAACCTCTGACAAGTGTTTTTTTTTTTTTTTTTTTTTTTTTTTTTTTTTTTTTTTTTTTTTGCCATCTATCCCAAAATAACAAAACACTTTTTGCGTTTAGTTTCACTTTAAATGATGTCTTTAGCATTTGGACTTTTTAGTATTTGTAATGTGGTTGATGTGTATTTGTCTTTCAGGGATCCGACCCGACAGCCTTCTCTGTGCTCACTCAGGCCATTACCGGCCAGGTGGGCTTTGTGACCGCAGAGTTCTGTACAACATGCGGAGAGAAGGGAGCCGATAAGAGGTGCTCTGTGTGCAAGCTGGTGAGTGCCTGTTAGTCCCATAACGACAATGGTATTTGCAGAGTGGAATTATTGGGATCACTCAGTGCTACTACTCTGTTTTTCAGCACTGCAGCAAATACAGCAGAAAAAAATATAGGAAACGTTTACTATAATATAACTTATATTTTTTTTTTTTTTTTTTTTTTTTTTTTTAATTTAGGAAGAAGAGTAAGGAAGGTGGGGACCCCTATTTGTTTTTTTTTTTGGTTTTTTTTATTGCTGTCTCCTTAGGGAGATTTCCCTTCACTTCCTGTCCCATAGCCATAATAGTAAGTGTGTGGAAATCCTTCCAAAGCGAGGCACTCCCTGGTTATCACCAGAGCTAGTGTCCCCACTGGAAGATTTCCCCTCTATTTTTGGTCTGGGGACAACCCAAAATTTAGGATTTACTTTCACTTTAATTGATAACCATAAACTGGACAAATAGAGAGGGTGAATCTCCCAAACGGGGACACAGACAGCGATTAAAAATCAGACCAGTGTTCCGATTCATCTCCACTCTATCCCAAACTAAAAAAAAAAAAGTTTTTTGCCTTTAGCTATACTTTAAAACAGGTTTTTGCCCTACCACCACAAACCCACCCCCCTCAATAAATTTTTTTTTTTTTTTTTTTTTTTCTTATTTTAAGACCCCTACCTTCATGGTGGTGAGTTCTGCACACTTCATACTCGCACGCCCAGCCGATCCAGTGCTGTCAAGCAGCAATCCTCCTCTTTTGGCAGCGCTTGGTCCTGCGCCAGGATATTTTGCTGTGACGTCATCAAGAGGCTACCAGCTGTTCCGGGTTCAGTTGACACGTCTCTCGATGATGCCCTGCTAGGCCCACCCCCTCCTCTTTTTACTATATGAAAGGCTTTTCCTCCTGGAATATGTGACCTGCATGTCTTAGGAGGCAAAACGAGAACCGTACACATTGTTTTCTTAGGAGAATGGCGTGCAAGGGGGGGCTGGGCCAGACCATTTCATGAAAAAAAGGTAAAGAAGTGTTAAAAATCCCTAATTGTGCAGAGAACCGGTGGAAGGTGGAGAGGAGAGGTGAAGACATGAAATGTGAAGATCCACTTTAAATCCTAAAGAGGAACTCCGTTTGTTTTTGTTTTTTTAGAGAAGGAATTTCTTTAAAGTCAGCAGCTACAAATACTGTAGCTGCTGACATTTAAAAATCAGGTACAAACTTGTGCCTGGGGTCCAGCGCCGGTTCTTCTTTTTTTCACTGCGGTTCCGCCATCCTAGATATGGAAGCGAGTTGTTGCTTTCTCAGAAACCACAGCCATCACCTCTGTGTATGTGCAAGTTTACATGCCGCTTAGTGAATGCTTCTGAAGCCTCCTGGGACCTGTGATATGTCAGGAGGCTGCGGAAGAGGATGGCACAGGGGATGGCATCCTTGCCTAGGCATTGATTGCAGAAGTGGGAGCGGGTACCAATAAAAAAAAAAATGGCTACGTATTCCTTTACAGGCTGGTTGGTAGGAACGAACCAGCGGGACTTTTTGAGTGAATTTCCGCATTAACTTCAGACAAGCGGCTAAATTCAGTTGAAAAACATATATGGATATTGTTGACTGCCTTCCAGAATCTGACAGGTTGAAAAGCACAACGGCTGCATTCTGTATTGAGCACTACTCGCATTTAGGGCTGTATGCGTTCTGGGACTTATTTCCCTAAATGCAAAATTCCTGCAATCGGGGCATACATCTCAGAACGGCTCTAAATACGAATGCCGCTCAGAACAGCATCTAGCTACTGCACAATTCAGCCCGCTATATATTTTGGCAGGGTTCTGGCAGCAGGGTTGGATGCTGCACCTATGGCTCCCGGGGGTCCTACAGCACTGGGATTTAACGCCAATGGGCCAATCCATTCCATATCCATGTAGCCCAATTACTACCATCCATATCCATGTAGCCCAAGTATTACCATCCATATCCATGTAGCCCAAGTATTACCATCCATATCCATGTAGCCCAAGTATTACCATCCATATCCATGTAGCCCAAGTATTACCATCCATATCCATGTAGCCCAAGTATTACCATCCATATCCATGTAGCCCAAGTATTACCATCCATATCCATGTAGCCCAAGTATTACCATCCATATCCATGTAGCCCAAGTATTACCATCCATATCCATGTAGCCCAAGTATTACCATCCATATCCATGTAGCCCAAGTATTACCATCCATGTCCATGTAGCCCAAGTATTACCATCCATGTCCGTGTAGCCCACTTGCCGCCGTCCGTGTCGCCCACTTGCCGCCGTCCGTGTCGCCGCCCACTTGCCGCCACCCCCGTGTCGCCCACTTGCCGCCACCCGTGTCCGTGTCGCCCACTTGCCGCCACCCCGTGTCCGTGTCGCCCCACTTGCCGCCACCCATGTCCGTGTCGCCCACTTGCCGCCACCCATGTCCGTGTCGCCCACTTGCCGCCACCCACGTCCGTCCGTCGCCCACTTGCCGCCACCCACGTCCGTGTCGCCCACTTGCCGCCACCCATGTCCGTGTCGCCCAATTACTAGATTCAGAGTGTTAGCACAAGTGGTCAATAATTTTTTTTTTTTTTTTTTCGCTGCTGCTAAGATAGATGTAATGATTGGGGTGGTCAGGCTTGTGGAAAGGCGGATGTGTTCCTGAAATGTTCTGTAATGTGCCTGTGTGTTTCAGGTGATGTATTGTGACCAGAACTGTCAGAAGTTGCACTGGTTCACACACAAGAAGGTCTGCAAGACGCTGAAAGACAAGAGAGAAAAAACAAGAGCTGGAAGCTGCCAAAGAGAAGAGAAGGCAGGAAAAGTTGTCGGAGAAAGGTCAGTGAGCTGGGGGTAGGGGGAGTCTGTGTTTACCTATAAGGTGGTATTAAGCCCAAATCCAAAAAATGTAATCTATTGCAGCTTACCAATCCTTAGAGGGGGAAATGGTTAAGAAAAGAAAACAAATGCAGCTACCACAGCTGTTTTCACCTGCTGATCTGGCCAGTAACACACCTCCTGTACTGGAGCGCCCCCAGTCTGATTGAAATAGAACAGATGACACCTTTGGACAGTTGCATTGTCAGTCTGGAGGAAGGGGCGTGTTAAATCTACTAGGAGATTTAGATACACTAACAAATTGAAGCCAAATTCCAGCTCACACTTTTATAAGCCGTTACAGCAAACTGTTTTATTACCTTACGTGATACAGGGTTACATAAATGAACAAAACCTGATCGTTGTAAGCACCCCTGCTAGTGTTAAATGGTTTGTATCATCTCTGTAGCTGATACGTGTTCTGCAAGACAGCTTGTTCTTTCAAATAAACTGACTTACTGGCTAGGTAACCAGATGAAAATAGAGCGAAAACCTACGAATAAAAATCACATCTAACTGGTAAACTGCAATAAAATGTATGCTTTCTGGGTTTAATACTGCTTTAATCGGTGAAAGTGTCTTTAAAGTGTTACTAAACCCCGGACCCCGCATTCACTATATCCGGTCTCCCGGACCCCGCATTCACTATATCCGGTCTCCCCGGACCCCGCATTCACTATATCCGGTCTCCCCGGACCCCGCATTCACTATATCCGGTCTCTCCCCGGACCCCGCATTCACTATATCCGGTCTCCCCGGACCCCGCATTCACTATATCCGTCTCCCCGGACCCCGCATTCACTATATCCGGTCTCCCCGGACCCCGCATTCACTATATCCGGTCTCCCCGGACCCCGCATTCACTATATCCGGTCTCCCCGGACCCCGCATTCACTATATCCGGTCTCCCCGGACCCCGCATTCACTATATCCGGTCTCCCCGGACCCCGCATTCACTATATCCGGTCTCCCCGGACCCCGCATTCACTATATCCGGTCTCCCCGGACCCCGCATTCACTATATCCGGTCTCCCCGGACCCCGCATTCACTATATCCGGTCTCCCCGGACCCCGCATTCACTATATCCGGTCTCCCCGGACCCCGCATTCACTATATCCGGTCTCCCCGGACCCCGCATTCACTATATCCGGTCTCCCCGGACCCCGCATTCACTATATCCGGTCTCCCCGGACCCCGCATTCACTATATCCGGTCTCCCCGGACCCCGCATTCACTATATCCGGTCTCCCCGGACCCCGCATTCACTATATCCGGTCTCCCCGGACCCCGCATTCACTATATCCGGTCTCCCCGGACCCCGCATTCACTATATCCGGTCTCCCCGGACCCCGCATTCACTATATCCGGTCTCCCCGGACCCCGCATTCACTATATCCGGTCTCCCCGGACCCCGCATTCACTATATCCGGTCTCCCACAGTACACAGAACATGGAAATGCAATTATTTTAAAAAATATAAACTGCTCTATCAGCAGTATATAGCAGTTCTGTGACTTCTATCAGTGTCCAGCAGAGCACTGGTTAAAGATTGTAGAAGTTTTCATTCTGCTCTAGGAGGATGCAGAACCCCTGACCTGTGTCTGCACACTGCATGTGATCAGCACAGGGCCAATCAGCACTCTCTCAAGAGGTAAATAAACCTCTCCAGCAATACACACTAAATTGAGCATGTGCAGAATGGCTACAGTTCATTCTGTCTTATCAGGAGATAAGACGTGGACATTTGAACAAGAGGAGGAGCAGAGAAGTCAGAATCAAATGGCCTTTTTACATAATGCAGAGGATTAATCCCTTAGGTTCCACAGTGAGTATAACAAGCATGCATTACTGCATCTACAGAATGATTGTACTGCTGTGGTTTAGTAACACGTTAAAGCCTAACAATGATCTTCTAATTTTTTGGTAAATATATCAATTAGAATCCATTGCTGGGGTGTCCAGGTGGGAGTTACTAGCCACTCCTTAGTCTGGAGGCGTAGATCATTGAATATTGGAGTCACTGTTCCTGAAATCAAGCCCTTCATTTTTGTATTTCGGTGGGGGTGAAATGTCAGGGAACAGCATGACTTGCCATTTTAGAGAGACCTTTCGGCTATCTAGATCTGTGAGGGAAGCTTTCCTTGTCCTTATAAGTGAAGGTGGTTGTAAAGGCTCATGGTCATTCTATGCATGAAGGTAAAAAACTTTCTCTGTGCAGCAGCCCCCCCTAATACCTAAGCCCCCTCTCAATCCAGCGATGTGCACTGGAGTCTCGGCTATCCAGGGACTCCCTCCCTTCATTGGCTGAGATAATGGCTCCCGCTGAGAAGGGAGAGGGGGGCGGGGCCGAGCTGCAGCTCCGTGTGTGAATGGACACATGGAGTAGCGGGTGCCCTCGTGGCAAGCTGCTTGCTGTGGGGGCAGCGGACAGGAGGGAGGGGCCAGGAGAGCCTGCAGGGGACCCGAGAAGAAGATTGGGGCTGCTCTTTGCACACAGCAGGTAAGTATAGACTTGTTTTTGTTATTTTTTGAGAAAAAAAAATGTAAGCCTTTAGTATCTCTTTAACCACTTCCCGACTGGCCATTGCATATAAACGGCCGGACGGTGGCAGTGCAGGGTCGGTTGGCCGTTTATAAACTGCCTCCCCGAACCCTGCTTGTGCGCGCTCCCTGCGCGATCCGGTGCCCGCTGTGTCCTCCGGACACAGTGAAACACCGATCGTCGGACGGGACCTCTGTACAAGGTCCCGATCATGTGATCACTGATTGGCCAATCGGTGATCACATGCAAAGTAGTAAGCAAGATGTCACTTGTGACATCATTGCTTACTACGTGTGGAATCTGTGAATGATCACAGAGGTCACATGGTACAGGGCTATTCACAACAGCCTTGTACCATGTGACAAGCTGTGACCAATCACAGCTCACTCAGTACTTCTCAATGAGTGCAAGAATGCAGACAGAGAATATGGGTGTAAAAGCAATCAGTGTAGAAAAAAAAAAAAAAATCTTCATCACCCCCCACAAGTAGTACAGTGTCACCATGATGACACTGTACTGCTAGGGTGACAGTATGTAAAAAAAAAATATATAAAAAATAATTGAATGTAAAAAAAAAATGATTAATTATAATTTTTGGTTATAAACTAATTTTGGATTTTTTTTTACTAAAAAGATAACGGAATAAATTTTGGCCAAGATTTATGATGAAATATTTATTTGCAAAATTTTATAAACACTTTTTTTCAAAATTTTTGGACTTTTTCATTTACATAGCAAAAAAAATAAAAATCCCAGCGGTGAATACCAACAAAAAAAAGCTTTATCTGTGTCAAAAAAAATGGTAAAAAATTCATTTGGGTACAGTGTTGCATGACCGTGCAATTGTCATTCAAAGTGTGATAGCGCTGAAAGCTGAAAATTGCCCTGGACAGGAAGGGGGTAAAAGTGTCCGGACTGGAAGGGGTTAAAAGACTAAAGAGGAAAAGCTGCTCAGGGTTGTCCGGGGGCACAGGACAGGTTGGAACACTGTGTGCCCTTTCCACCACAAAGAGCGGTTTTCTTTGCCAATTACGTCCAAAGCCCTTGCCAAATCGGTAGTAGCAGCACCTTCGGCACATTCTGGCAGTCTAAGGTTGTTGTGCCTCATTTTATTCTCTGGATCTTCAGATTTAAGAGCGTTGGCATCTGCCTTGATTAGTGAAGTTTTCTCATCAGCTGATTTGGCCTTCTAGAGCGGAGGTGCGTGCACGTACCGGAGATCGTGGTGTAGTAGGGAGATGTCTTCCCTGACCCATTGTTACCTGACCGTCCTTTAACCCCTCGCCTACAGGGCACTTATACCCCCTTCCCCTCCAGGCCAATTTTCAGCTTTCAGCACTGTTGCACTTTGAATGACAATTGCCCGGTTATGCAAGATTGTACCCATATGAAATTTTTATCTTTTTTTTTTTTCTCACAAAGAGCTTTCTTTTGGTGGTATTTAATTGTCGCTGGGCACTTTACTCTTTGCGCTATAAACAAAAAAAAATGCAAAAAAATTTTAAAAAAAGTTTCTTTGTTTCTGTTATAAAATTTTTCAAACAGGTAAGTTTTTTTTTCTCCTTCACTGATGTGCGTTGATTGATGAGGCGCAGCACTGAGGAGGCACTGATATGCATGCACTGAGGAGTCACGGATAGGTGGCACTGATGATGGGTACTGATAGACAGCACTGATAGGTGGCACTGACTGGCAGCACTGCTGGGCACAGGTGGCGGCACTAGTGGGTGGCACTGCTGGGCACCAATCATCAGGGCACTGATCATTAGTGCCCTGATGATCGGTGCCGATCCCTACTCTGACAACTGCCGGTTCTCGGCAGTACTTTCCTCGCGCTCTGACAGTGCAAGGAAAGTGCAGCCGAGAACCAGCATTTCCCGTGATCAGCGTGTCATTGGACACAGCTAATCACGAGGTAAAAGGCCACTGTGATTGGTCTTTTACCACATTACGTGATCAGCTGTGTTCGTAGGACACAGCGATTACGGAGATCGCCGGGGGCACGCAGGAGAGCGCGCTCTGGGAGGACGTCATATGACACCCTCCCAGAATTGGCTGGCTGCAGTGTAGCCATCATTCAGCTATCTGGGGGTTGGCAAGTAGTTAAGGTGGGTTCTGGGCACTTATCCTCTCCAGTGTGGTCTCTGGGGTCCTTGGGGAAGAGGTTGTACTCATTTTGTCATTGTTTCTTCTCTAATAGCTGTTGGTGGCAAGTGGTGCTGCGGCCTGGTCTTCATTGAGCAAATGAAGTTAACAAAAGGATTCAGAGCCTACAGGGGACAGCATACTCTCGGTGTGGGAGGTTTAGGGGAGTTTGCCCAAAAAAAAATGCACCTGTCTTTAAAGCCGCTGCCTCTCTAGCTTGTTCCTTGGCCGATTGTCCACTTCCTGGGGTCTGTATGTAGACTCTGCCAACTTGGATAACATGGGGTCTGGGATCCACCACCTTCCTGAGATGAAGCGAGTGAACAGCAATGGGGTGAGCCAAGGATGATGTGTGGGAGCCAAAGAGCACATGTCTGCATCCAGACCGGATACTACCTGTGAGCTGACGTGCTCTTTGGCTCCCACACATCATCCTTGGCTCACCCCATTGCTGTTCAAAGAGCACGTCAGCTCACATGTAGTATCCGGTCTGGATGCAGACTATGCCAACTTTGATAACGTGGGGTCTGTGATCCACCACCTCCCTGAGATGAAGCGAGTGAACAGCAATGGGGTGAGCCAAGGATGATGTGTGGGAGCCAAAGAGCACATGTCTGCATCCAGACCGAATACTACATGTGAGCTGACGTGCTCTTTGGCTCCCACACATCATCCTTGGCTCACCCCATTGCTGTTCACTCGCTTCATCTCAGGAAGGTGGTGGATCCCAGACCCCACGTTACCCAAGTTTTCAGAGTCTGCATCCAGACCGGATACTACATGTGAGCTGACTCTGCAAACTTGGGTAATGTGGGGTCTGGGATCCACCACCTTCCTGAGATGAATCGAGTGAACAGCAATGGGGTGAGCCAAGGATGATGTGTGGGAGCCAAAAATCACATGTCAGCTCACATGTAGTAGCCGGCCACATCTTCCCACCCCCCAATCAATGTTCATGTAGAGAAGATATGTCAAAGTGGTTGGAGGGAATCCGCAGCACTGAGATGGAATATAGATGACAAAAGTGGAATTTCATGGGGGGAAAAAAGGCATTTGTTAGCTCATTTCTGGGTGAAGGTAATAGGGCGAGGTTGTGTGGAAATAGGAGCCTGAGACCAGCTTTATTATTACACTGCAATCTTCAAGTCATCCAGTTAGGATTAGGTCTGCTTTTACAAAATGTAAATTCCCTTTTAAATCCCACTTCCTAAAACAGCAGCAGTACTCCTGGCCCCCTTCTCACATTATCGGCATGGCAGTACACTGGATGGAACACCATTTTGTCAGTAAATTCTCTGTACTTCTCTGATGCACAATGATATTTTCCAGCACCAGAGGAGGGAGAACATGATTGAGCGCTGAGCCACTGAAGTCTTGGTGATGCTTTGCCTCATCCTTTGTAGAGCTGGGAATAGACTTGAAGCCATCTACACATTATTATACTCTCCATTAAACAGTGAAGCGTGCGCTATAATTATGTAACCTGCAGGGTGATCCTCCTACGAGATTCCACCACAATAGCTTCTCTGGTCTATCCAAAATCTTTCATTCTGTGAAGATTTCTCTTCCAGGGAGTCTGTTAAAAAAGGAATTTCCCTTTAATTAAATTCCATTTGCTTTTTTTTTTTTTTTTTTTTTTTTTTTTTTATTCAGAGGTATATACAGTATACACCCTGTGTATCTATCTAAATATCTTTTGTACATTTTTCTTTTTTTTTTTTTTTTGTGATTTTTTATTTCAAAATCAATCTCTTCCAGCCACCCATTTACAAAAACTGAAGGTGACAAAAGCTTGTTTTTGGGGGGGGGGGTTTCTAAAATAACAAACATGTCGTCTATACTTGCCTGCTCTCTGCAGAGCTTTTGCGCAGAGCAGCACAGATCCTCTTCTTTTCGAGTCTTACGGGACACCCGGCTCCTCTTTCTCAAGCAGTGCCCCAGGGAAAGCCACTCACCGTGCTAATTCCCAAGGCCCCGCCCCCCACTCTTCTTATTGGCCCACTGGCTGTGATTGACAGCAGCGGGAGCCACTGGGCTCCCGTTGCTGTCTCAACCAATGAGGAGGAAGAGTCCTCAGAAAGCAGAGGCTGTCGAGGCTGCATGAAGGTAAACAAACTTGAGCCTTTAGAGGGCTTTTATTTACAGTATTTCAAGTAGTTCTAAAGTCCCTTTTTTCTTTTATAGTACTCCCCTTCATGTTATCTGCTACGGTGCCAGGAGTGGACACTGGAAATCCACTGCTTAGGCAGGCCATACTTGGAGCGAAGTTTGCTTGGTTCCTCCAACAGTCATTGTATTCTCCTGGCTTGGGGGGGGGGGGGGGGAAAGCCATCCTCGCCGGGAGAAGACAGTGATTATTGTTAGCAGCTATACCAGCCTCTAGTGATAATTGTATGTAAAATCCGGCAGGCTGGTTATACCCAAGTAGGTTGTACCCACTACCTCTGTCTCAGTAGCAAAATGGAACCCCGCCATACACTTAGTGCAGGCTCCATGTATGCACTTGACATCCCGTACCCCTGCACAGGGTAGGGACCTTGGCAGTGCCAATCTGCTCCCATTGCTATGGGAGGTGGACTGCTATAAAAGGAGTGACAACATCTCCCTCGCTGCTAAAAGCTTTCCTACCTGACACGGGTACACGCGTAACACGCTTAACAGGCTGCTTGACTGGCTGTTGGCTTCCATTACCTCTAGTAACCATTTTACTGTCTTCATACCCCAATGTGGTATTGACCCAAGTGGGAGACCACATGTGGAGCCAGTTACCTGCACTACACTTCTTTAATAACTTCAGACCACGCAACAGGCAAAGTTTCAACATTTTACTAAGTGTGGCAAAACATTACAGTGTCTAATCACAAGTAACAGTTTGTCCCTTATCCCTAACGCTTTCTCTCTTTTTCTCTTTTTCTCTCTTTTGCTCTTTTGCTTTCTCTTTTTTTTCTCTTTTGCTTTCTTTTTTTTTTCTCTTTTTTTCTCTTTTTCGCTTTCTCTTTTTCGCTTTCTCTTTTTCGCTTTCTCTTTTTCGCTTTCTCTTTTTCGCTTTCTCTTTTTCGCTTTCTCTTTTGCTTTCTCGCTTTCTCTTTTTCGCTTTCTCTTTTTCGCTTTCTCTTTTTTTTCTCTTTTTCGCTTTCTTTTTTCTTTCTCTTTTTCGCTTTTTCTTTTTTTTGCTTTTTCTTTTTTCTTTCTTTTTCTCTAGCTTTCTATTTCTCTCGTGCGCGCTCTCTTCTCGCCCGCGCGCTTTTTTTTTTTTGTTTTTTTTTCTCCCTTTTAATTATGTTATCTATTTATATTTGACGCATTTGGTGATTGGGAGAGTTCTTTAACATAATGTGAAATTACTATATTGTCTTCCAGAGGTGAAAGACACCGAGTCAATCTCGGCAGGTGAAGGAATACTGGAAGGAGAAGGTGATAAACCCAAAGAAAGTGCAGACCTAGTGACCTCCGAGAGTTCGGTTTCACCAGAAAATAACAGTTCCACCATTACAGAAGAGCCCTCCGCTGATACCAATGTGTCACAAACATCTGCTGGGTCAGAAAAGTGATAGGCTTCGGAAGACCTCCACAGTGAAGGCGATACCAACTGCGGCAAAACTCCAAACCACAGCCCGTCCATGAGGTTTGAGTTTCCTCAACAGTTGGTGGCCAAGAAGGAGACCAAGAACTGTTTTTTGAAGATACATATACCAACGTATGCAAGAGGTCCAAATTCCTACTTGCACTCAGACATTCCATTCACAGGCTTCTTGCACATTGTCCTGAAAATATTTAAAATAAACATAGAATTTTGGCTAGAAAAAAAATCAGACCTTTATGTAATTCATAGAATTCCTAGGTGAAAAAAATATATAATTTTCCATTTTAGACAGTATTATCATACAAGGTATGGTGGGAAGGGACCAAAGGAATCAAAAAGCCCTCTAGCTCAATTGGTGTCTAGCGCAGTAAGGCCTTTTTAGAACCGAAGGTATTCCCATGTTCCATTCCATCAGGAATCCTACATCTCAGAAATAGGCAGGTTATTCCTCTTTTCAGAAGAATGGGTGGAGCGATCCATATAATTCATTAACACTCCAAACAATCAAATGCACATTCAGAACCGCTGACTGTAAATATGGCCCAATATTAGAGAGTAATGTGTTCCAAACTGCATAGAGTTGTTTCTGTATTTTTGGCCTTCATCAGTGCAGTGTATAGGAACCATGGCTTTTATGGAGTATGACTTGAGACCCAACAAGACAATATAAGACATTATACGGTCAATGGGACTAACTGAATCCAAAAGATCTCGAACCAAAGCAGCGAGTAGCATAGCAAAGACACCTTAAAAAAAAAAAAAAAAAAAAAAAAAAAAAAGGTATTCGTGTCTCATTCCATCACATATCCTAAAAACGAGAAGATATTTCCTAATTTTTCAGGAGAGTGGGTGGAGCCAAAAAAATGCCTTTAATCCCCAAACTGGGTCATGTCATTTTTCTTCTATAAATCAGAAATCTTCCCTGATGGTCAATTATGTAACCAGATACTGGCCCATTAGCAGTGTTCTGCCAGCTCTGATCCTCCTCCAGCAGAATGCTGCCATTCTCCAGCATTCCCCATATTCCTTATATCCAGAGGAAAAGTATTTTTTGCATCTTTAATGTTTTTGTGGAATACGTAGGTTTTTTTAAGCCAAACTTGAAAGTGAACCTTTTCTCCACTCTGTCTGAAACTATTTCCTAAGAGTTGTCATTACAAGGTACCTGTTATAAACTTCTGTTGTCAAAAAAAAAAAAAAAAAAAAAAAAAAAAGGCTCTTTGGAGATTATGCACCAACAGAGGTCTCAACTTCACACCCAAGGAATTCGCCATCTGCTGAGAGTGTTTGTTGGCCAGTGAGGCACTCCAATAGTATAAGTCCTCAAAATGTGGCCTCTTGCTTGCCTTTATCTGGCCCTTGGGGTTCTATTCCTGCTGCTGACCCCAACAGTGGGGCACACTATACCCCAACCAGTATACCTCCCAGCGATACCAGTGATGGGACACTATTTCTCCCACTGACACACATAATAGGGCACTATTCCTTCTACTGACACCAATGATGGGACACTTCCTCCCACTGACACTATTCCTGCCAGTGACACCAACAGTGTGGCACTATTCCTCCAACTGATACCAATGATGAGACACTATTCCACTGATACCAATAATTGATCACTTTTCCTTTCACTAGTACTAATGATGGGGCACTATTCCTCCAAATGACACCCACAATAGGGCACTATTCCTCCCAATTATACGAATGACGGGGCACTGGTCACTCCCACGGACACCCACGACGGGGCAATGGTCACTCCCACGGACACCCACGACGGGGCAATGGTCACTCCCACGGACACCCACGACGGGGCAATGGTCACTCCCACGGACACCCACGACGGGGCAATGGTCACTCCCACGGACACCCACGACGGGGCAATGGTCACTCCCACGGACACCCACGACGGGGCAATGGTCACTCCCACCAACACCAGGACATTTTCTACTCCCAATGGCCACAGTCCAGCCCCTCTTCAGTCTGAAGAATAGTCAAACTGTCCCTTTTGTTTAGAATGTCTGGAGACCCCTGACATAGGGGCTGGCATGGGCAAAGTTTACGCCTTAAGTTGAGGCATTTGTGACAAAGTAAAATTGATGTACAAGAAGTCTTCTCTGGACACCTGTGGTAGCAGAAGACCTTTCTTGGCCAACACTTTAGTTTTAGGTAAAGTGGAGGAAAGTTTTGTCAGTAGATTATAGATCTGCTTAGGCTGGTCCAGTAGGGAGGAGCAGTGATCACTTCAAACATATGTAAAGCTTCGTGTGGGTAAGTCTTTTTTTTTTTTTTTTTTTTTTTTTTTTTAGGTCCAAAATGTCGGCTAACAAAGATGGTATGCCCACAGAGGACATAGAAACAACAGGTTTATGTTATTGTTGGCCACCACAATGGGTGACAGCTGAAAACAGACGCCAGTACTTCTCTCCCCCCCCATTCCTCCCAACAGACACCACTACTGCTTAACAATTGGGTTCACTGTCAAAACCCTCAGGAGTTGGTTGTGCTTCTAGACTTGGGGAGCATGTGACCTTCTCCCAAGATGCAGTGCTTGGATCTGAGCTGCCTATTGCATGTAAGGGAAGGGAGGAAATCATCAGCCCTGTGACAGAACCAACACATCTGACATGAGCTTACACTGGGCATGGTTTCCTGATTCAAGAAAAACAGAACAGCAGGGGAATGCAGGAAAGTGAAGTAGCAGCTGGGGCTTTATTTTTAAGAGACTGTTACTTTTGCTTTGAAGTTACAGAATAAAGTAAATCTGTTTCTTTTCCTTCCATGGCCAAGCACAGGGTAGTGCTAACCTATCAATTGCCGTATGTTTTGTGAATGGTCAAGTGGTGGATGTTTATAACCGCACTGCAGACATAGCCTTAAGCCTGCCAGTGTGTTTGTTAATTTCTGTCATCTGATGGCTCAAATCACAGACATAATGTACAGAGCTGAGCTAATTGGCTCTGTACACTGTGATGGCTGTGGTGACCAATCAGAGGGATCACAAATAGATATAAACAGTAGCACTGTTTATATCTGAGTGCCCGCCCCTTTCTCTCACAATGGTGGATCTATTGAATGACCAACCATTCATTATTTTCAGATTACAGTTAGCAGCAGATTCAGGGGGATTGTGGGATTTTTTTTTTTTTAACACCACCCCATCCTCTGCTGTTTATCTAATCTCCAATCGGTCCTGCATATCTGCAAATTAGCAAAAGGCAGCGCTCCTCAAAATAATATATCTCTGGATGAGTGAACTTGAAAAATTATACATGAATAATATATCAAGTAATGTCAAACAAAACAAATCAATGTGACAAATTATACAGCGAATAAACAAATAAGTGTCCAACAAAAGAGTCCATATAAATAATAGTGTTCATAAAAATAGTGTTTCTGAAGCAATCAATCTTCTTTAACCCCCCCCTGGAGGTATTCCCGAGTGTAGCTCAGGGTAAAGTTTCAGCACCACAAGCGGTAATCCTGAGCTACACTCGGGAATACACTGCAGCATTGATCCGGGATCTCTTCTTCACTTACCTTGTCCGGCGCTCCCGCGATGTCTCCGGCAATGTCCTCCGGCCGATGCCGTATCCGTCTTCCGGGTTCCGCTCCCTGCGACGTCGGGACGTACGTGGGCCGGAACTGGTGGGAAATTTAAAAATGGGGAAAAAGTGACATTCACTAAAATCACATAGTAAAACATTCCTGTATCAAACCATTTCACATAATTTTGTCCCGAGTGCTTTGTCCGGCGCCCTGCCTGCATTTTTACTGTTCTTTCTGCCTGGAAACTGAGAAACGTCCATGGCGTCCAAAAAGGGTCCCTTTAGGTCAAAAGCGGTTTTAGACCGGCTAGAGAACAGCGATAGTAAATCAGAACCACTTGCAGAATTGAGTGATAATGATTCGTGTAGAAATTCATCATCAGACACCAAAAACGATTCTGCGACTTTGCTCAGCGATGTGCAAACTTGTCGCTATATTTCACATTTCAGTGTTTTTTGGTTTGATTATATTATTGAATTAAATTTATTATTTTTTTAATGATTATTAAATTATAATTTATGATTTTGTGTTTCAAGTTTTATTATACCCGGGATATTTATAGACTCTTGTTCAGACAGACTTCAGTGAGTTATTCCTAAAAATTACAGGCCTACAATAAAAAAAAAATACATATTTCCATGCAAAAAAATACCACTTTGAGCACAGAAATATGGACATAATCAGACCACTAGGGAGGTTAATCCTTTTAATTCTTGTATAATATGGCTAAAGAAAACTCCACCACCAAGTGAACTGAATCCACTCACCAGAGTTCCATGCTGGTAAGTTTATAAACCATCCACAACGGCTTTAGCTCTGGGAGTAACGATCTGCAGAAGCATACACCAGCTGATTTGCAACTCCTTCAAATAGCAATTGGCTCCTCATATGCTCAGAATGGGACATAAAGGAAGAAAAAAAGGAATCCACATAGTGTAAAACCATCCAGGCTTTATTCAATACAAAACGTGTTAAAACCACTCACATTTGTCAGTGTCTAAGCAGACACTAGAATATCAAGCATAAGACATCGATAATTATAGGTTTTGCTCCAGTGGTCTCAACAGACAACTGCAGCTCACCCGTACGTGGTGACATCACCTCTGAGGCCCTTCCCTACGCGTTTCATCATCCAACATCCTCCAGGAGCAGAGTGTCCTTCCACTCCTGGAGGACGTCGGATGCTCTGGTGAGTCGATTCAGTTCACTTGGTGGATTTTCAGTGGTTTTTTTTTTTAGCCACATTATACAAGAATTAATATAAAGGATTAAAAAAGTTTTACTATTTTTATGAACACTTATTTATATGGACTGTTGTTGGACACTTGGTTGTTTATTCACTGTATCATTTGTCACATTGCTTTGGTTGACATTATTTGATATATTACTTGTGTGGGCAGCACAGTGGCTAAATGGCACTTCCACCTGGCAGTACTAGGGTTGTTGGTTCGAAACCCAGCCACGGCACCACCTGCCTGGAGTTTGCATGTTCTCCCTGTGCCTGCGTAGGTTTCCTCCGGGTACTCCGGTTTCCTCCCACACTCCAAAGACATGCTGGTAGGTGAATTGGCTCTTGTCTAAATTGTCCCTAGTATGTGTATGTATGAATGTGAGTTAGGGACCTTAGATTGTACACCCTTGAGGGTTAGGGACTGATGTGAATGTACAATATATATGTAAAGTGCTGCGTAAATTGACAGCACTATATAAGTACCTGAAATAAAATAAAATGTATATTTTTTTGAGTTCACTCATCCGGAGATCTATTATTTTGAGGAGCGCTGCCTTTTGCTTTTTTGGTACATATTTACCCTGCCTTGTAGGGGTTAGATAGCAGCTCTTCCTAATATATCCTCCTTTTTTCTTTATGTGCATAATCTTTTGTGTGATATTCTTCCCAGAGGCTCTGTCTCCATTTTTATTTATATCTGCCAATGAACCCTTTCATCTCTATCTTCCCACTGTATGTGACCTGTACATTAATGCCTGGGAGGCAGCGCAGCTTCTGTATCAAGTGACCACTCTGATTGGCTCTGAGAGCAGTTACATGATTGGGAAGTTCGTTCCACATGCTCCCAAGCAGAAGTCTTGACCGAGAGCTGTTGAAAACAGCTTGGTAGGGTTGCTGTGAGCACGCTTTCAGCATGTGATGTGACCTTTGCCACTATGGATGCATATGTGCAGCCAGGGGCAGACTGACCATTGGGGAACTCGGACACTGCCCGAGGGCCCGGGGTCAGTAGGGGGCCCCATGAGATGTTCCTGGTACCTTTTCATAGGCTTTTTTGGGTGTGATTTGAGTGTGGGAGAGGACACGGGCCCCATGATCCCCTATTGCCCGGGGGCCCCATGAGTTGTCAGCCCGCCCCTGTGTGCAGCAACTGGGTGTTAAAGCCCACCTTTCTTCCGGGTTTGTGTGTGTATATGTGAGATATATACAGACATAGAGAGAGAGAGAGAGAGAGATAGATAGATATATATTGCTGTTAGCATAAGGTAAACCCCTTCATCTCCCCTTCTTTTCATAACAAGATACAATGAGAACAGACCTCTAATAGTTCAGAAAATTTGTTCACCATTTTGGTTTCCAACAAATAGGCCAACAGTGCTGATATACGACTCTACAGTAAGAGAGCTCCATATTTTAACCTCCCTCAATACCAGCATATTCTTTTTCCAAACAATTGTGGCAAAAAAATGAGATCAGCTTGGGGTGTCTACTTGTCCTGCCATTCTTATTCCATATGTTTTATAGAGCAAAGCAGGGGAAAAGGTTTCTTTTTTTTTTTTTTTTTTTTTGTGTGTGGTCTTTTTTCCTTTTTTATAAAGTTTTTTATATTTTATTTTATATATATATATATATATATATATATATATATATAATAAAAAAAAAAATACCACCAAGAGAAAGCTCTTAAAACGATACTAAAGGTTCAGATTTGTTTTTGTTTTTTTTTAATAACAAACATGTTATACTTACCTGCTGTGTGTAGTGGTTTTGCACAGAGCAGCTTGGATCCTCCTCCTCTCGGGTCCCCAGCTGGCTCCTCCTTCGGGTCAAGTGCCTCCATTGCAAGCAGCTTGCTATGGGGGCACCTGAGCAAACTCACTCCCAAGCCTCTGCTCTGTGCGTCCATTCACACATGGAGCTGTGGCTCAGCCCCGCCCCCCTTTGTCTCCTCATTGGCTCACTGGCTGTGGTTGACAGGAGGAGGCAGATACCCAGAAAAGCCGAGGTTCTCGTGCATACCACTGTATCTTGATGGGGCTCAATTCAGTAATAGGGTGGCTGCTGTACACAGAAGGTTTTTTACCTTCATGCATAAAAAAAAAAAACCTTGAGTCTTTTCAGCCAAATGATATAAAATGTTTTGTTCATTTTTGCATGATGGAGTAATTGCCAGTCAAACTATCCCATCACTGAAAACTGACCTGACAAGGAAGGGGTTTTACAAGGTGCCATTCAAGTAGTTAAAGAAGAGCCCGGGGAATTTTTTTTTTTTTATCCCATGTTAACTGCTCGTTTTTGTCCAGGGGTTCGGAGAGCGGAGTAATGCAAGCCATAGACAGGCTGTTTATCGTTCAAATTTTCGGCCGATAAACGAAAAATCGGTCGGCCCCATTGCTGATGCTGCCACCCATGTCCGCGAAAAATGGCCGTTTTTTGCGGATTTTTCCGCCGATGGGCTGGCCCCACTAATGGTGTGAATATCGAGCGTTTTTTTGTGCGGACGAAAAGTCGGCCGATAAACAACCTGGCCATGGCTTGCAATATACTTACCTAATCTGCCAATCCTCCAAGCACAAGACCGGTTTCTGCTGCTTCTGCTACACCCCCGTTAACACGTTAAAGGTCTTGTGCGTAGACTGTTCCTGACTTCATCACGCCTGTAGGCTAGCTTTGGATGTGAGGACGGCAGGAACAGTCCACTGCTGGATGTGGGGGGGAAAGATTTGGGTAAGTGTAGCTTGCTTTTTTTTTCTTTTTTGTGCACCCCTGGACAAAACAAACTGTTAACCCATGCAGTGCAGGCACAGCCCCACTGTATCGAAACAAAAGTTTTGGTTTTTTTTTTTTCTGGAGAACTGCTATGAGGAACTATTCCCCCCTTTTGGCATATTACATTAAATCTGATATGAGAATTGCCTGAGGACTTTCTGTGTATCTGAGTGTGTTCTGTTGAAAATCATGCATGAAAGTGTCTAAGAAAAAAAAAAAAGTACTGAAGAACAATGTTCTGCCTAACAAAGACAGCTTCCTGCTGCTGTATTCTCAGGAGAGATGTGTAAATGAAATAATTAGTTGTTGTTTACCAGCGCAATCACGGAGAAATAAATTCAATTTATGTATCCTCCTAAAAAGAATGGACCGTCCTCTTGGTATTCTTGTTGCTCATCACATTTGGATTTCTTTATCTTTTAACATTAATTTATTCTTTACAATCTGCAAAAGAGAGGCTCATTTACAATGCACAGGGGAGAGTTTTTAAGGGTACAAAAGACGATCGGAGTGTTTTTCCTGTGAAGATTGTATTCTGGAGGAGGCTATATTTAAATAAAAATAACTTAAAGAAATCTACTTCTTGGTTTCCATTGCTCTTCCTGACTCTAAAAACGCTTGAGACTGCAGACAGCTAGATGTCGGAGCTGCAAAAAAAAAAAAAGAATGGTGAGATTACCATCACCAAATATAGAGGGGAGAAATTGCCAAATTACACAAACCGTTAAAAGATCTTCGCTCATCGGGAAGTTAGGGTCTGTGGTGGAAATCTGCAGCATAGCAGGACACCTTGATATAAGCGATCACACTTGGTGGGCTACATTATCTGTCAGAGAGGGGGGACAGCGGGCACGGCTATGGAAACAAGTCACACTAAAAAGGGGTGGAACATGTAACATGGTCCAAAGGTGAACTTATCCTTTAAATAAAATAACGCAAGCAAGGTTTTGTCCTCGGGCTCCTTCTCTTCTCCATCTACACCGCCTCCCTTGGTCAACTGATACACTCAACTGCCACCTCTATGCCGATGACACTCAACTCTATCTCTCCACCCCTCACCTCACCCCTTCAGTCTCTGCCCGAATCACACACCTACTGAGCGACATATCAGATTGGATGTCACTCCACTTCCTCAAACTTAACCTTGCTAAAACCGAGCTCCTAGTTTTCCCCCTAGCCTGCGCCCCCCCCCCTGACCTATCCATCACATCCAACAACACCACCATCAGCCCCACCCCGCAAGCCAAAGTACTAGGTGTCATTCTAGACTCTAATCTGTCTTTCCAGCCTCAGATCCAATTGCTGACAAATTCATGCAGACTTCACCAAAATACGTCCGTTCCTAACTCCAGAAACCACAAAGCAACTCATTCACTCCCTTATTATATCACGACTTGACAACTGCAACTCCCTCCTCGCCGGCCTACCCCAACACAGGCTATCCCTGCTTCAGTCTATCCTGAATTCTGTGGCCAGACTCATCCACCTTACCAACCGCTCCGTATCCGCCTCCCCCCTCTGCCAATCCCTCCACTGGCTTCCGATTGCCCAACGCATAAAATTCAAAATATTAACATTGATGTACAAAGCTGTTCATAACACTGCCCCAAACTACATCACCGACCTGATATCCATCTACCACCCAAAACGTACTCTCCGCTCCTCACAAGACCTCCTACTCTCCAGTTCCCTGGTCTCCTCCTCCCATGCCCATCTCCAGGACTTCTCCAGGGCTTCCCCCATCCTCTGGAACTTGCTACCCCAATCCATCAGACTGTCACCTACCCTCCTCACCTTTAGGCGCACCCTGAAAACACATCTCTTCAGAGAAGACTACCCAGCCCTCACCTAATTGCTGATCTCCTCTGCTCTTCCCACCACTCCATCCCCCACAGCTATTTCCTCCTGTACCACTTTCCCCTCCCTCCTAGATTGTAAGCTCCAAGGAGCAGGGCCCTTGAACCCCTCGTGTATCGCATTGTATTGTTACTGTACTGTCTTGTGTATTGTCTCCCATTATAATGTACAGCGCTGAGCAAACTATTGGCGCTATATAAATACTGTATAATAATAATATAAACAAATTTTCTCCTTACGTTGCACATAGGAACATCCCATGGATGTGCACACCCTCCAGCAGGGGCTGAACCAGGGGCGGACTGACCATTCAGAAACTCGGGCACTGGCCGGGGTCTGTAGGGGGCCCCATGAGATGCCCCTGGTACCTTTTTCATAGGCTTTTTTGAGTTTGGGCAAGGACACAGGGGCCTTATGATCCCCTATTGCCCGGGGGCCCCATGAGTTTTCAGTCCGCCCCTGGGCTGAACATTACGGTTTGATTGCAGTGACTGCAGCAGAATGTGCTGGTCTACTACAGAGAAGTCTTTCCAGACGTACCTGAGCAGGTTCTGGGCAGAACTTCTCCATGGGAATTGCTGCAGATGTGTGGCCTGGAACTACCACCAATTGGGTGAATTAGGCAATGGTATCTTCCAGTACTGGATGGACTCTTATCTTTGTCAGATTCCCTTTTACTAGCCAAGAAAAAAAAAAAAAAAATAGAGCTGAACTTTGACCAATGCAAATTCCTGTTGCTCTGATCAGTCTCCCAATCTAACAAAAAAGGAAAGTGTGCAGCGTGAGAAGAAATTGAATACTTTACTTTCCAACCTTTGCTCTCTTCATGAGTTATGGCTGCCCCTGCCAGATATGGCGCCACATGTAGCTGTGGTTCTACCTGCCAACTCCTACGTCATTTCAGAACTTGGCAGTCAAAACAAGGCACAGGACAGTAGTGATGTAGGGGTCTGCAGGAGGAACCGCGGTGACCAGCAGAGGACATGCTATCCATCACACCCGCCAGACAGGGGACAACTCATTCTCTTCTCCTGCTGGTTACTTTTTTCTTTAAAAGCTCTATAGGGGGCACTAAAGCCACATCTCAAAAAAGAAAATGTAAAAGTGCTGTGTGAAAAATACCCTTAAAAAGCATATGTACGGTTAGGTCCATATATATTTGGACACAGGCACAATTTTAGTTTTTTTTTCAGGTATTTACCAACACATATTCAAGTTCTATAATGGACATGGGCTGAAAGTGTACACTGTCAGATTTAATTTGAGGGTATGTACATCCAAATTGGAGGAAGGGTTTAGGAATTACAGCTCTTAAGAGTAGCCATCCCCCCATTTTCAAGGGTCCAAAAGTAATTGGACAATTGAATCAAAAGCTGTTTCATGGCCAGGTGTGGGCTACTCCTTTGTTCTTTCTTCATCGGTTAAGCAGGTAAAAGGTCGGGAGGTGATTCTAAGTGTGGTATTTGCATTTGGAATCTATTGTGAACCTACATCATATGTTCAAAGGAGTTGTCCATGGATGTGAAACAGGCTATTGGAAGGCTTCAAAAACTAAACAAATCCGTCAAATAGATAGTAGAAACATTAGGAGTGATCAAATCAAAGTTTGGTACAGTCTGAGGAAAGAGGAATGCACTGGTGAGCTCAGCAACATAAAAAGGCATGGACGTCCACGGAACACAACAGTGGTGGATGAATGCAGGATCCTCTCTATGGTGAAGAAAAACCCATTCCCAGCATCCAGACAAGTGAAGGACACTCTCCAGGAGGTGGACGGATCATTGTCAAAGTCTACAATCAAGAGAAGACTTCACGAGAGCAAATACAGAGGGTTCACCACAAGGTGCAAACCATTAATCAGCCTGAAGAATAGAAAAGGCAAATTAGACTTTACCATCTAAATAAGTCAGACAAGTTCTGGAAAAGCATTCTTTGGATGGATGAATCTAAGATTAATCTGTACCAGAATGACGGGAAGAAAAAAGTGGAGAAGGCTTGGAACAGCTCATGATCCAAAGCACACAACGTCATCTGTAAAACATGGTGGAGGCAGTGTGATGGCATGGGCGGAGGCAGTGTGATGGCATGGGCATGCATGGCTTCCAGTGGCACTGGGTCATTGGTGTTTATTGATGATGTGACAGAAGCAGCCGGATGAATGCTGCAGTGTTTACAGATATACTGTCAGTCCAGATTCAGCCAAATGCAGCTGTCAGCGCTCCGGGTATGACCAGAGGTATGTGAACTGACGCAGGGAAACGCAGGCTTCAGATATATTATAACAATATAATTTATTAATACTAACAATACAAAACACAGTGCAATACTAAAACATAAACACAGTGCAAACAAACCAAACCAAACCACCCACAGATAACAATACATACAATGCAAGCGTAGTCAGGCAGGCCGGGTCAATAACAATTGGGCAGGTAGGAACAGGGGGTCAGGCAGAGAATGGTCGGGGTCACAAGCCAGGGATAAACCAGGAGAAGTCAGCAGAGTTCAGGATCAGGCAGGGTCGGCGACAAGTCAGTCAGGCAGGAACAGGAACGCAGGTAACAAGATACAGGGGCCCATAGAAAAACACACACCAAGGCACAGACTGCAGGTCTGGCCATCCCTTAAATACACCTGCAATCAGCTTTCAGGTGTTTGGCTGACTGCAGGGTTGAGTCTCTGATTGCTGAGAGCACCCGCTGGCCAGCCCTGGTACTGCAGCCCACAAGTCCATTCCTGACAGCAGCAAAGTTGATTGGACGGTGATTCACAGTACAGATGGACAATGACCCAAAACACACTGCAAAAGCAACCCAGGAGCTTTTGAAGGAAAAGAAGTGGAATATTCTGCAATGGCCGAGTCAATCACCTGATCTCAACCCCATTGAGCATGCATTTCACTTGCTGAAGGCAAAACTAAAGGCAGATAGACCCACAAACAAAGAACAACTGAAGACAGCTGCAGGTAGAGCCTGGCAAAGCATCAGAAAGGAGGAAACCCAGTCTGTGGTAATTTCCATGGGTCCCAGACTTCATGGAGTCATTGCCAGTAAAGGATTCTCAACAAAATATACAAAATTAATTTTTTTTTAATGATTATATTCACTTGTTCAATTACATTTGAGTCCCTGAAAATGGAGGGAATGAGTATAAAAATGGTTGCAGTTCCTAAAATTTGTTCTTTATATTTATGTTCAACCCCTTGAATTAAAGCTGAAAGTCTGCACTTCAAATTCATCTGGATTGTTTTGTTTTAATTTATTCTGGTGGCATACAGAGCCAAAGTATGAAAATTGTGCTTGTGTCCAAATATATATATATAGGACCTAACTGTAAATGTAATGCAATCTGTAAAATGCATGAAAATCCATCAAATACATGTAATAAATTGTGAATAAAAATCAAATACATATATTAAAGTCCATGGGTTACTAAACATGACCTCAAATGTCAATGCCTCTAAACCACAATGGTGCGTAGTGCTCAGTCTCCTTCACCACAAAGTGTCCACACCTGGTGATACGGTATTATTATATAACTCACCAAACGGACTCTTGAATAAAAAAGAAGGTCTAATGCGCTTGTTGGTATCACGATTAAATGGGAAGAAAGCTCATCCTGTAGTGATGTCTCCAATCTTCTCACTTACTCCACAGAAACCATATCGGACTCCAAGGATAAAAGTTGTATATAGTGTAGTATTTATTGTTAAAATCTACCAATAAAACATAACATGATAGTGTGCCTGAATACCAGCACTAGATATGACAGTGTGTAGTCCTGCAATGCTGGTGCCACCATGCATACAACACCTAGGCAGGTGTGTGTTCCAACTGTCAGGAAGTACCGTGACCAGGATTCCCGCCTCTAATGCATTTTCATCACTCTGACTTCATCAGGAAGCACCTGCTTTGCTGCTTCCTGATGACGTCATCAGAGTGACCAAAATTTCAAGGGGTATGAATGCTTTTTCAAGAAACTTTATTTGTACTATACAGCCTATTTGTTTGTCAACCTGTAAAAAAAAAAAAAACTGGTATGGCAGAGGCGCTTATTGTCTAAAGTAATGGTAATTAAAGAGGAGGCGGAGCCATTGTAGTTCGGGTAATGAGCATCAGATTTATTTATTACACCAAAAAGGAATCCTGTTCATATGTACAGTGGAGGCCACTCAGCTTTACCAGAAACTGTCTATAAAGTGCAATTTCCACTGCTGGAAACAGTAGCTAGTTCCTTGTAATTGGTCGCGTGTTTGTAGATAAACCAAATACTATCCAAAATAATAATTTTTGCCTGGAGTTGTGCTCTGTGTTTCACCTAGCTTCTGAGTTGGGACAACCAGCACAAAACAGTTCCCAAATAGAACCAATGTACTTTATAGTAACCAGAAACCGGCGCTCAAATCCTTCTTGCTGCACTCAAAAATATGAAGTCCAGCACTTACCGAGGTGCCGCCCTTGATAGATCAGGGAATCTTGATACTAGCAGTAAAGAACAAAACAGGGCGCACTCTCCTTGTGCTTTACTGTGATAGTAAGAAATGTATTATACATAGTTAGTCTGGCTGAAAAAAGACAAAAGTCCATCCAGTTCAACCATGAAGAAAAAAAAAGTTATAATCCTACACCCACAGAAAAGAACAAAACAGGGCGCACTCTCCTCATGCATTACTGTGATAAGAAATTTATTATAAAAATACAAATGCATACTCACAAGCCAAAAAGGTCATCAAAGCAGAGACAAGGAGTCAAAAGCTCTGAGGAAGGGAGTTCGACTCCCGAAACACGTTAGCACTTCATCCGAGGACCATTGTTGCCTATGACTGGTAGCTTTTGACTCCTTGTCTCTGCTTTTATTACCTTTTTGGCTTGTGAGTATGTATTTGTATTTTTATAATAAATTTCTTATTATCATGGTAAAGCACGAGGAGAGTGCGCCCTGTTTTGTTCTTTTCTGTGGGTATAGGATTATAACTTTTTGTTTTTTTCTTTATGGTTGAACTGGATGGACTTTTGTCTTTTTTCAGCCAGACTAACTATGTATAGTAAATGTCTTACTATCACGGTAATGCATGAAGAGAGTGCGCGCTGTTTTGTTCTTTTTTGTGGGTATAGGATTATAAGTTTTTTTTTTTTTTTTTATGGTTGAACTGGATGAACTTTTGTCTTTTTTCAGCCAGACTAACTATGTATAGTAAATTTCTTACTATCACGGTAATGCATGAGGAGAGTGCGCCCTGTTTTGTTCTTTTCTGTGGGTATAGGATTATAATTTTTTTTTTCTTTATGGTTGGCTGAAAAAAGACAAAAGTCCATCCAGTTCAACCATTAAGAAAAAAAAAAATTATAATCCTATACCCACAGAAAAGAACAAAACAGGGCGCACTCTCCTCGTGCATTACTGTGATAGTAAGACATTTATTATACATAGTTAGTTTGGCT